AACTGGGATGCAATATGGGCATCAAGGTACACTTTCTGAACTCCCGCTTGGATTACTTTCCTAAAAATCTACGGGTTGTAAGTGAAGAACAAGGCGAAAGAGTCCATTAGGACATTAAGGAGATGGAAAGAAGATACCACGGACTATGGGATGTCAGTAAGATGGCGGATTAATGTTGGATTCCAGATGAAGAACATAAGAGAAGGTCCACAAAATGCAGTTTTAGGGGAAAAAAAAATCAGAACTGATAAGCACCACAGCTAATCAGTGGCTTACGTTGTATTTTTATACCCATATATGTTAATAATAAACTGAAATTGGTAAATTTTTCCGCATTAAAATAAATTAAAACTCTAATATACATATGTATATAATATATTTATATTAATATAAATAAATTTAGATATTTCGAGGCTCGATGCTGTAAAATGACTCAAATTGCTCTAATTTTAGTGCAGTTTGTGATTAAAGTTTCGAAAAATTACACAGAAATTTATTTAAATATGAAAAGAAATTTTAAAAAAAATTTGAAAATCAATAAAATATTCGCCGAATTAAAAAAAATAAAAATAAAAAAGAATTTAATGAAAAATATACCTGTTTTCTTCTTAGAATTATGCCATAATGTTATTAAATTTGACTGGATTTTTCATGTTTAAATAAGTTCATATCTAAAAATAAAAATAATCAGTTCGCATGAATGATTATTTTTACAGAGCAAATCTGAAACAGTAATGATGATTGAACGAACAAGAGAATTGTTCCACACGCTGATTAAATCTAGCATGTCGAGCATTTTCGAATGGGATAGCTTGAAATTCTTTGTATTAGATACAGTATATATCTGGATAGTTTTTATAATGAGTTTGATCCTGGCTTTAATTTATTTTTATTCTTATTTGATTTAGATTTGCATGGAAGTTATACTGAAAATTTATGTAATATCACTTCTACAAGTTTTCTAAAATGTCTTAATAAATACCTTTAATAAAAATTTATACAATAGAGAAGAAAAGTAAGGCGAAAAGATGTTACTTTATAGAATAATTCACTTAAGTTTTAAAATAACTTATGAATAATATATGCATTTAATACGCGTGTGATATATAAATAAGGAAATTCAAAGAAATAAATCAACTTCGATTCAAGATTTATTTGAATCATTCATTTTTGAAATGAATTGTTTTAACACATAAAAGAATTAAAAGGAAAATTTTGTCTTATGTAACCTATTCACTTTTGCAATTTTTAAGTATATTTTCTAGGAAATTCAAATGATATTTAATTCAGAACCTGTTCTACTTCATCTATTTAATTTTCCGCTTAAAATATTATAGTTTTACTTTTTTAACACAATATTTTACCTTTATCGTCGTTAGTCACATTCTTTTATATAGGCCTGTATTTAGATTATTTCCTGTTAAAAGAAGAAAAATTAATTTTATTCGAATTATTTTCTATTGATTAAAACATTTCGCACTTGTTTAACATGTTATATAACGATCCATTTTTCTTTCTTGGATCTCCAGTTTCCTCATTATAGTAGGCCAGTATGGACAAAGATAAAGCTTTTCTTCGAAGTCCCTATGAAAACTTAATCGAAGAAATATTCTAGATGACCATTGTCTATAATAAAATAGACTACTAAATTCTTCTATAGATCTCATTATATTTATGTATAATCTGCTATATTCAAAGTTAGAGTTCATTTTTAAGATTGGAGTATTTGTCGATTCAAAAATCGATCCGAAGATAAAATATTCACCTAATTGCCTCGAGGAATTTGGTACGATCGTTGCGGACCTTCACAGCTTTTCGTAGAGCGTTATCATATGGACAAAAAGAGAAATTGCACGAGGCCCAAAACCAATCTTTTATAAGAAAATTTTCCCGAAGAAAAATGTCTGAAGGCCCCTAATTTGTCTGGGCTCCACGAATCTATAACGCTCCACTGTAAGTAATTTATATAGGATGTTCATCCTTCACTTAATTAATCAATTTTACTGCGAGTCAGACTCGCTCGTAACGGACAGAATTGAATTTTCATTACTCAGATGCTTTGATAAACTTATAAAACAGCTGTTTTGAAACCATTTACGGCAAAGAAGGCTCGACCGGATTTCATCTGGGATTTCCCAACGCGTCATACGGTGACCACAGTGTATACTAAATACAACTTCCTCTTATTCTCACGTTGATGTTTATTTTTGTGTTATCGTAACGGTTATATTCTGTAATCCAATTGCTAAAACATCATAAATATAAAGAATAACTTTAAGCAGTTACATTTTATTATCGGTTCAAATTATGCTGATAACATATATCACTATCATTTCATTATTTATATAACTAAGTAATTAACATCCACATTCCTTAAGGATTTCATAACTGTGTGTTAAGATTGTTTAGTATCTTAGCAGTAATTTTTTAAGAATTCTGTAAATATGTTAATTGGTGTTTTGTTATGAAATATTTTCTATTCACTGTAATTTAATATATTGAAGTATCAATAATTAAAGAATAAAATTTGAAATTCATTGAATAATTGTAATGAAAATGTCACATTTATCTTATTTCTAGCTATATAAAATTCTTAGATTAAATGTAAGGAGAAATATGTTTTTATAGATTAATTTTACACTTTCTTTTCATTATCAATTATCAAAAATTCTCTCTCTCAAAATTTTCAAACCAGTAATAAATCCATAACGACCTTAAATAACCAAATAAATATATATTTTTTTTTATTTGTGGTTTTAGGCCCCTAAAAAAATATATATATAAATAAATAAATAAATANATATAAAAGTGTTTTTTAAAAATTAATTTTACATAATCTTTACTTTTTTATACATCCATTAACATCTATTGAAATATATTTTTAATTTAATATATATAAAAATTTGCATTCAGGCCCATCCTGAATGAATTAATATATTAAAAGATTCAAATTAAAAATCTAATAATATAATTGTTATAAAAAAAAGGCTATTTATTAAAATTATTAGTTAGTTAAATGTGTTTTACGTTGAATAAGAGAAATTTAAAAACGACAGAAATTTTCTAATTGTTAAAATAGCACTGTTGACCTTTGACATCTAAATACAAGGGAAATTAATAGAAAATACAGTCTTACAATGAATTTAATCTGTTTAGTCTGAAGAAATGTAGTTACATTTTGTTTACATCAGACTTCAAGTAATATAAGTTTATTGTAAGTAATAATTTCCTACTCATTTTCTAATGTATAAAGAAACTGAAATGTTTTAATAACCTTTAATTTAGCTTTATTAAATCATACTCTGAAGTTTAGAAACAATTCTAATTAAAGCAGAAGTGTTTTTTTTAGTTTTATTTAATTAAATTACTAATCTACGAGAACTTTCTATTTAACATGTAAATTTTATATTGCATTATTTATGGTAACTCATCAATATTTACACCAAGATATGGATTGCATAACTTATCAGATAAACTATTGTATCTTTAAAATACATATAATTACTGTAGATAATTATGAACTGAATAATTATTTCAAAGTATAGATTTAATACATAAGAAAATAATGATAAAAAAATTCTGTTTTTTTAAGAAACAGTTTATTTAATTAATTAACTTATTGATTTGTAAGTTGTAATTTAAATTTTTAAATTAATATACAATCTTCTCTATATTATCATTACAAGTTATCAGATAATTAAATTTACAAAAGAATGACTGAATTTTAGTTTTACTTGTAAATAAAATTTTTTGAAAATATGTAGTGTTATTACAAAGAGAATAAGGAAGCTACCTATAATTCAATATATTAATAACATTTTCCTGTTTGGTCTAATGATTCAAATTAAATTTTAAAAATGATACTGTAGTTATGATGATGTAAGAATAAATAAATAGTTCCTCAATAGAAGTTTTTCTTATATATCATAAACCAACTACTCTAGCTGATATATTTTAAAAACGATAACAATTACAAGGATATCAATCCTTAAATTTACAGTTTTTATAATCACAGGGTCTTCCAAAAAAGATACTCCATTTTAAATTATTGTAATTATGTTAATTATGGAAATCATGTGATTGTTATATGTACATTAAAACATTGGAGAACTGTCCAAATTTCATATTTTCTCATTATAATTTCTCAATGCATACACTTTGTGTCATACGACGCATATTCAACTGATACTCAAACTCTTCCTATATTTGCTACAGCATATCCATTGTTACTCCTTTCACAGCAGCCACAATTCTACAGCTTGCAGATTACTCATGTTGCGCAATGATGAATGATTCCAACTTTGTGAACAGCAGAACACAAAACATCTTGTGAAGTTGCCATTATCATTTACAACACTTCCTAGAGGTAGTAGACAATAAGATGTTTGAATGCAGATGGGAGATGAAAATCAAACAGTTACTCTATTGATTGGTGTACATTGCATACTTCTCAGATAACATAATTACAGTAATTTAAAATGGTAGCATCCAATTTTGGAAGACTATATCTGACACTACTAATTTAACTAACAAAACTAAATCTCTTGAAACATGATTGATGGAATATATATGATTCCAATGGTCAATAATAAGAATGTGCATATTTTTTAATATAAATAATAATTTCTAAAAATTTTTGCTTTATTTCCTATTAGCAAATATTTCAATAGCTTGAAGTTACTAAATTAAATTGTTTATAAACTAAGATTACGTATGAAGTTTTTGGAATGTATAAATTATTTTAATGAATTAAAACATTTTTTTCGGTTATTATACAGTTGACTTAAAACTGATTTTACAATACTCCCAAATTTATACATATAATTAAAAATTTGAATTGACAGTAGAAGGTTCAACAATTCTTGAACACACAATTCTAAAAGTTGTAATATGTTTTTAATAATATGCATAAATTGATATTTCATTTGAACATTTATTTATTTGCTTTGAAGATTAAATAACTTATTTAAATGTTTAAATTTTTGGCATTTGTACATTACTCTTTTAAATAACAAGATACCTTTGAATTCCAACAATGTAATTAACAAAATTAATACAAAATTGAAGACAATCTTATTAAATATTTTGCTGAAATCCAAAGATTTTTCTTGATAAGCAAACTAACATTTTTTTTTAACCAGTGATGAGTAACCTCTTTTGCATATGGGCTGCTGCATTTTATGGAGGATTTAAGCCTAAACTCCAAAAAATTCTACCAGTACACTAGGTACTAAAATGTATAGTTTCTCATTGTTTTACTGGTTAAGTTTAATTTAAATGTTCTTTGTTACAAATATTGGCTTTATTAGGCAGAAAACAGAATAAAATTACATTGGCAAAGCCTGAGGGTTGCATATGAGGACCTCAAGAGCCACATATGATCTATATGTTCATGACTGCTTTATATGTTTATGTAATCTAATGATGGTAAATTCTAAGGATAATTAAAAAAGTTTTAATGGGTGAATTAATGTTAAAACTTCTAACATAACAAAAATTATTATATTTATTTCTTTTTCAAATTATCTTACATAACGAATAAGTTTGCTTGTATATAATAGCATAAACATAAATTGAATGAAGTTTCATTCAGGAAAAAAACTATATCTAAAATATTGCATATTGACAGTATTGAAATTCCATTATTAATTTATAATTCTTCACAATATATTTCAATTTAAAATTTTGCTCTTCTGTTTACTGTAATTTAAAAACAAAGTATACAATAGAATATTTTTCTTCATTTATACAACTATAATTTTCAATATACATATTATACTTGCTATTTATCCTTATCAATAAAAGGATATCATTAAGGAACTAATTAATAAAGTATTTGAACTTAATATTCAAAAGTCTTGTTTTGAATATTTGGAAAAATCACGGATCATACTTTTCTAATGGATTTACAAAAAATTGTGATAATAAACTTTCAATATTTGCCAAAGTAGTACTAGTTTCTTCCATGATATCTTTTGTTCCAATTTCTTCTTCTTTAAATTTTTCATATTCACGTTTAATCCGTGAAGAAAGCTTAATAGACTTTTGACTAACTCCCAAACTTGTATTCTGTTTTATTTCTGTTAACAGATCTGTTACATTTTTGCTAAATTTATCTTCCATATTTTTCAAAGCCATGTCATGGACATCTACCATATCAGTTCCCATTATCAATTCCTCCTCTACACTTTTTTTGATGATTAACATTTTTTGAGCTTCTTTATACCATTTTTCTAATTTTTTTGCCAAAACATGACAGGCTTCCACGCATTCATCACGAAATAGTGTTAGAAGTTTTTTGCTGTTTTGCTGTATCTTAACTTTTTCTAGTAAATGAAACTGTTCATCATGATAAGAAAGTGTACGTGATGTCTTATCTCTAACAAAAGCTTGCCAACTGTCACGTATTTTATTTACGTAAGTTTCTGCTTTATTATTACAACCATCCAGTTTTGGACAATTATTTAATACTGTATCCCAGTCTTTTTGTAGTTGTTTAGTTTGAAGCATTGATTCTAGAGGCTTGAATTTATTTCTTATTGAAGCAAGATGAAGATTGATTGCATTATTGCTATGTTGTTTTTCCATTCCAATTTTTGAAAGCTGTGATAAACTATTCAGTGATAAACTGTTTGAATCAAAATGTTTTATAATCTCAATAATATTTTCTTGACAAGTAACAAACACTTTAACTTGTCCTTCAAGTGCTTCCACTCTCTGTGTAAGTTGTTTCATTGTTTTTGATAAGTTATTTACATCTTCATTTATAATATATAAAAGAATATTTGGAATATTCGATAACATACGATAGGATCTTACAAGTTTTTCGATGAGTCGTTTTACTGCGTGGGCAATACTGCAACATGTTTTAGCCATAACGGCATCATGCTCTACATTTACGGTCGACATGTGAAACATAGGGAATTTTGCCGAAGGCCCTTCCATTCCCGTTTGGAGTTTAATATCAGTATTATCTTTCTGTATAAGAATCAATGGATTTTCAATTGAAGTACTGGGTAAAATAGAAACTTTTGCATTTGGTTCAACTAATTTGTCATATAAAGCTTTTTCATACAGTAACAATTGATTTACAACAGGAACATGAGTTTGAATCATGATTTCTTCTTTCAACTGATTATATATCTTTTCTGGCTGCATATAAATTGTGATCTCTCTACTCGCGTTCATATAAAAAATATGAAATACTTTTCGACTAACAATATCTGTAACAGAATCAAAAAACTTATCAAAAGACCACATTTTCTCGGCGTTACATTCTAATATACCAGCAAGGAGAGTAGTAACTAAATTCTTAAGTCCTTGACTCAATAGACACGATTTAGGTAATTCTTCGCTCCATTCTATAGGTCCGTTCTCCGTACACTGAACGCCAGATATAACTCCCGAAGCCTTCTTTGTTGTGATATAATGCATCGTCTCTTTATTCCTCCTTCCACCGTAAGGCCTAAACGGCAAAGATCCGGTGGCCAAATGATACAGAGTAACGCCTATACTCCACAAATCGACCGTAGCACGAAAGGACTTGCCGACCGGATGTCTAAGCACGGCTCTCTCATACATGTCGGGATGTAGATATTCCTCGGTTCCGTACAACGACATAAACTGCTGATCATCATCCAGTTCTCGAGCAGCACCGAAGTCCGTTAACTTATACACACTTTTACCGTCCTCGCTAATGTATTTCATGATATTTCCCGGCTTTAAGTCTCTGTGGATGATGTTATTATCTCTCAAATACTTCATTCCTGCAGAAAGGTCTCTTAAAACACACAGGAACTCGCTTTCCTCCAGTCCATTACTGTTCTGTGGATCGTCTAGTATTGTAAACAAACTCCCACCAGTACACAGCTCCATCACCAGAACCTTACTTTGAGTTTCCACTTCCTCTTCTATAGCTAATAACTTGACAATATTTTGATGACACACTTTCTTCAGGACTTCAAACTCTCGCATTTGTACTTCGTAAGGTCTCATCTGACTTACGTGATTGAATGTTTTTACTGCGACGGAATCGCCCTTCGCTTTATTCACGCCTTGATAAACCGCACCGGTTGAACCCTTCCCTAGCACACACGTTGTACTCCAAACATAATTGGCGGAACCGCGTAAATACGACATGTCTCGCGTATTTTGATGAAACTTCACATCAGAAAACGAAACCGTCTCGTTGGCTTCTTGCCACGTGACGTTGACTCTGCGAAGGAGGTCACCGGTACGAGGATACGTCTACAGGTAGGGGGCGTTGTTCGTCGAAGGATGACGTCGCCTGGAAACGTTTGGCACGGCGCTGTACAAGTTTACTTTGTTGTCCAATAAATTATATAACAACTCGAAATTTTATTATTTTAAAGTGCTTAAAATAAAACGAAATTATAACAAAGTGTTTTCAATTTTTTTTGTTTTTTAAATAAATGCGAATAAAAGTTTACTTTTGCATTTTTTTTTGTTATATATATAACAGAGGAAAATTAATTTGAAAATTTTGATATATTTATACGAAATTTTGCTTTAAAATGTTAAAAGACTGCTCATTTTTAAACGGATGATAAGTTTTTTAATCGCAAGATGGCGTTAGATATCGCATTTATTTTGACGCGAAAATATTTTGCTTTCAGACTTCATTTAATTGAATTATTTTAACATTATGTAAAAAATATTTTCGTGTAAAATATCTTAACAATAATAAAAACATTTTTTAAAATTATTGAACATGTTCCAGCTAAAAGAAATCTGCACGAAAAAACTTTAGGCATTATTTATGCTTGACGTCATAGCCATGTGACGTAACGTTATATGACACCTAGATGACGTCACGTTAATTTTTTGCGAATTTTTTGCGTTTCTTACAATCCAAATTTCATTAAATCGTACTCATTAATTAATTAATTAAATTGTTGTTGTTTTAATATAATATTTATTTAACAAAATGAATGTTTTGTTTAACAATTAATTTAGTCGCCGAAATTAACTTCTTATTAGTCGCATTTATTTTAAAATAAAAAATTCTATTTAACTGGCTAATAATCACCTTCAGTAAATTAAATCAGTTTTGTGGACCCGCAGCATTGCGTTTTACAATAATAATTGCTGTTTTGATGCTTAAAAAAGAAGAAATAAAATCTCTTTTAATTTTACAAAAAGTAAAATTTCGTAAAGTGAAAAACTTTCTTTACAATTTTCCACTTATAATAAATTCATTTATTTTTTCAACTCTCTTCTCTGTGAACACTAAGAGACTCTTTGTTTTAAATGGGAATTGTGGGTTTGGTCATGCCCACAATGTGGGTGGGCAGATGGTGAGGGACAGGACTTGCCATCTCTGGACAGACTGTCCAAGAAAATTCCTGGAATTTCTGGAGTCTGTCCAGCTGGATTTAGTCTTGGGTCCTCTAGAGTAAAGCTGACCATATCATTTACAACCAAAGTGGAGACTGGCCAGGTGGCCAAAAGGTCAAGGTAACAGCATACTGCTCTGGGAAACTGGGATCCAATCCGGATGGATCAAAAAATTCCCAGGAATTTTTCGGGAGGTGGACCATCCGGTTATGTCGGGCCTCATCCCTCACCACCCGGTCACCCCATTGTGGGCCTGGTCAAACCCATAATGGGATTGCTGAAAGAGGCTCTCTTAGTGCCCACAGGGAAAAAAGAATTAAAAAAAAACTAACAAACTGGAGACACATTTCAAAATCTGTAAATTGGTTATATTATATTGGTGTTTTAATAAAATTGTTCTATTCAAGGATTGATTCTACAATCAAATGTTAAAAACTGGGAAAAATGAGGATAGTCCCCTGAAATTGGGTACGTCTGGTCATCCTATGTAGAGCAATAAGACATCAGGACATCAAATTCTTGTATTATGAAAATCTGTAACACCAAATAATTTCAGTACAGAATTTTAAGACAAAAATTTTATATATTTGACAATGCAGATATCAGATGTATTCTGATAAAATTGCTTTTCCATGTTGAAAATACTTTCTTAATAGTTTGATTTTTAATAGAATAACTTTAATACTTTAATAATATGCCTTTATGGATGGGCAGAATTTATAAAACTGAACAAATTTTTTTATGTAAAATTCTGATTTAGATCTTTTTCTATTTGAATTACATGTAATTACGACGAACATAACAATTTAAATTGTTAGAATTTGGAAAAAAAACAGTTAGCTCCTTGATGCTTACATTGTGTGATGAGGAAGTTTAAATCTCTGTCAAATAGTATTTTTAAGATTGATGTTAGCATTACAAATCCTATATGAAAGAAATGAGTGAAATATATTTTGAAAAGATAAAAAATAAAAATATGAAAATTTAAATTTAATATTAAGTGTAGTTATATAATTTATATAGCTAAAATTTACATAAGAATAATCAGAATATAAATTATGATGAGAATATAATTAAGTGAATGATTTTTAATAAATAAGTAGCACATAAAGTGTAAATGTTATTGTATAAAATCTTGTTCATAAAAAAAAAAACAAAAATTTAAGACCCAGACAGAAGAAATATGTTTGATTCTAGGCCAAATTTATTTTTTCTGTCCAGATCCTGGATTCTTTTTTGGTTAGACACGTGATTCAGACAGTTTGTTACTTGTATGCGAAACAAATTAACGAACTGTGTTGTTCACATACTCCATTTGAATGCTTTAATCAAATAACATAATAAGATAATTTATATATACATAAATTAATTTAAAAAATTAAATTTTCTAATACAAATATGAAACAATAGTTTATTACAGTAGTTTAGAATTAAAATTTTGTATTCTGAACATTATAATAAATTGTTATAATACTGCAAATTATTAAATACTGCTATTAAATTTTCAATATTTTACAAAAAATATATTTTAAATTATACAAATACAAGATTTAAAAATAATAAATAAAAGTTAATATATAATTAATTACACAGGCCAATAATGAAAAACTTTTTTCTTTATTTCACGTATCCTTAATGTATTTTCATGTGCTGAATTAAAAAATGACACTATAAAAGTTACATCATGTACCATTTTTTTTTCATAAATTTCATTTTTGTATAGTAATAACAGAATTATTTCACTGCAAATATACAAACAAAGAATCTGTTTCATGTACCAGTACTTCTGCAAAAAGTACCCACACTTATCAGAAGCCAAGGTAAAAGAAGGCATTTTTGTTGGCCCAAATATAAGAAGACTGATGCCAGATGACCAACCAATGGCATAGTGAAGGTAACGAGTTCCCAGGGGCAATCTTTAGTTGACCCCAATTTTAATATAAATAGACATTGGGCCTTTTTTTTTAGTACAGTCTCATCAAACAACCCTATACTTTCAACATCTGTCCCATAAAAATCACTGAAAGTTTTGCAATTTTTTTTTGGAGATTATAAATTATTGTTCTCTATCAATTTTTTAACATTCAGAGGAAAATCAAACTTCAAGTTCAATTCCAATAAGATGTCAATTGTTTCTCAAATGTACAACATGTATCTGGTGTTCTTTTTGACTTGTGCCCAGGGAAATTGCCTCTCTGTCCTTTGTTGCTTTGCCTCTGCAGATGCTGCTGACTTCCTGTTTACAATGAGTGAAGTGGAAAGAGAGGCTTGAACTACCTTCTAAGGGATCATTCATAACTACCTTGGAGACTAATGACCCTAGATACATTACCATTGAAAGTGGTTGATGAAGTTTAAAGTGTTGGAATGTTTAATAAGCTTGAAACCTCACTTTTTGCATGCTCATTTGAACTGTTTTCCTAAACACCTTTGAGCAGTGAGCAAGGAGCAAGAAGAATGCTTCAACCGAGACATTAAGGAGATGGAAAGACGATACCAGGGCAGGTGGAATGTTAATATGATGGAAGACTGTTTTGATAACTGACACTTTTAAAAGCATGTTTCATAGTTATCATGACTAAGCTATAATTAGCAAAATAATTTTATTATTTTATTTTTTTCCTGTTAGTGTTGTAGAATGATATTAGCAATGTTGACTGGAGTTTTTCTGTCTATTGTAGTATATTCTATGATTTCTCATTTTAATTCAGCTGCTTAAATAATTATGACAATAAAAAATATTTAGATTTTAAATTATACTAAATTAAATTATATAATAATGTTAAACTCATTTTTTATAATTTTTAACCATAAATTTTGATTAAAAATATTTAGGTTATGAAAAACTTATAAATTCTAATTTATTAAATGTTTTTGTTAATAATTTTATTAATATTTTTGAATTTGTTGTTGCAGAGGAACAAGAACGTGTTCAGAAAAAAGTTTTTACCAATTGGATTAATCATTGTTTTGCTCAAGTAAGAAAAATATAAATTTTATTAATATTTTTGTTGTTATATTTAAATATTAAGTTTTAATAATGATACCAATTAATTTCAAAAACTTTTTAGTTAAGAAACATTAAAATCTGTCTTGGATCATATTAAAGATACCTTTCATCAAAATAAACCTTGACTTATGTAAACTTAAAATTCAATAAGGAAAATTTCAAATTGTATTGTAAGTTGGAAGTTATTTGAATGCCAAAGGACATGTGTCCAGTTTTTCAGAAAGGATGCCATCTGCTGCTTCCAACATTATATATTCAATGATTATAAAATTTACAATAAATAAATTAGTATTTATGTAATAAAATGAGACTTTACTGAATTACTGAAATTTTATAAGTTAAGATACATTTTGTTGAGTGCTTTTGTTAAGTTTTATTCCTAACCTGTTCAAGGCAAAAAATAAAAATGTTATTTAAATATAGAATGAGGATTTTACAAAATTTTGAATTTTTGGAACATGCTTAATTAACTTACAGCAAAATTATTGACAAAAACACATACAGGTATCCCTTGCTTAATGCAGGGTTTGATTAATGTGCAAAATTAATTGTGACAATTTTTTTTATATACAGCAGAAGTTTTAATTTTTGTTTATTAAAATAAAAATATTGTTATTAACCGAAAATTTGTTCTAGCAGATGGTGATTGTTCAGTCAAGTACTGAAATACCACCGTACTTGATTAACATGGTAGCATTTGGGGATTAATTAATTGTGTTAATCAAGCGATACCTGTATTAAGTTAAAGAAAATTTGTAATTACAGTAACATATTTATACTTGAATCACATCTTTATATTTGCCCTAAAATTGTTAGGAGTACAACTTAACAAAGATGTTTAGAAAATTGTTTATGTTATATTATTTAACTTTAGTAAAGCCTGAAGAAGGTTTTATTATATTATTACAATAAACAAAATGTGGCATAATATTTATTATCTGTTTTTTTCTTAAAGCTAGTTGAGGAAACAAACATGAATAAAAGTATTGTATCTGATATCGATAACTCTATGTTTGGTTTCCTCAACTAGCAGCTTTAAAAAAAAGACAGGTTTAATTTTACTTAAGTGAAATTCTTAGTGCTTTTACATTAGTATTTTTCATATATGAGAGTGTGAAACACAAGAACACAATATAAATTATATAATTTAGTTGAAAGCTTGTTTTAATATTTTGTAATATTTGAAGAAAAAATTTTATGAAGATTTTAAAATAATGTTTGATATGAGAGAGACAAAACCTTTCACACTTTGTTTCTAGCAGTTTTAATCTATAAGAACAAACGTTTTTGGCCATTTTGAACCTTAAAAAGTACCTGAAGAAGGCCATTCAAAACAGCCAAAAACATTTGTTCTTATGGATTAAAACTGCTAGAAACAAAGTATGAAAGATTTTGTCTCTGTTATTTTAAGTAGCTCTATCTTTGTGTGCATGGAAATGTTTGATATGACAATTCTTTATAAAGTTTTAGATTTATTTAATAAACTTTTTAGATCTTCTGCAACTTTATTGATTTTATATTTAGTATTTAAGGTTTTTATTAATATTAATTAATATAAACATTTATATTTGATAAAATATATTAATATATGTACTGTACATGTTTAGTGATGGAAAATATAAATAAATAAAAGAAAATGCCTTACCTTAATCCTTTGAAGCAGAATTGTAATTAATGAAAAATTTTGAAATTTTTTTGCAAAAATAAGTTAAATATAGTCTACGTACTGTCATTTTAAAAGTTATATGCAGTAAACATACATCTAAGAAAAAAAATAAGTCATGGGACAAATATGTCCCAATCTGTGTCAATGGTAGAAAAGCATACAGTATATCATGAAGATATGTTCCAGCAGTTGGATTTATGACTTAGAAAGTCTTTTAAAAAAACACATAATATTATTTTCATGTATAACTTGAAGCAGTTTCTGTTGCTCATTGAACTGAAATGAATTTGGCAAGTCATGCAGAAGATGTTTCTTTGGTTGTAAATGTTTTTTGAGCTCATTGTTTGCAGAATTTTTTCGTGCATATTGTGTCTGGTAAGTGGTCAGTCTTTTTCTATTGTTTTTCCCTTCCATTTTTCGAGATGTAAGTGTGGAGAGTATGCTTCTTGTTTGAAAAGATTCTGATAAGTCCTCATGCAAGAAATCTTCTGAAGTCAACAGACTTCATTTTTTAATTTGGGTTGAGTATTTTTCAAACAATGAAGGCATTATTCACAGAAATATCAAGATTATTGAAAGACTGAAAATAATACTTTATTTTAGATTTCTTGTTTATTTTGAAAGTTACCTTTTTATTGTATATAAGGTCCATTCCACCCATAAATTTATTGTAGATATGCACAACGTTTGGGTACTTCTGTTTTTTTTTTTTTTTTTTCCTTTCATTTCTACTTTTGTTGTCTTTCTTATCCAAATCATATTCTTCTTCATCACTTAGATTTACATACAACAATTCATCAACTTTCCTAATTGGGCTGCAATTTGAAAAAATTGTAAACCTATAAATTCCCATTGTCATCTGTTCATCTGTATGTCTTTCCTTAATCTTGAGAATGGAATTAGGTAGATGAATGATGAGACCATATATGGAAACCTTAGGGCTGGCGGTTCTGATTAACTATATATAAACTTCCAATGCAAACTGGAAGTCACATTATTTCTATTCAAAACTTCCCCTGAAAGCATTAATAGATGACCGTCATGACTGTATTGTTAGAGGAAAAGTATGATGTACAGGGGCAAGACACTACTAATTTTAGATGGAGAGTATATATTTTAAATTAAATAAATTAAAAATATTTAAAAAATTGCAGCTTGGCATTGTGACAATATCACAATTAATAATTGCTCGTAAAAGTTTTAATTCTACACTCTACTGCACTAGTTACTTGCCATGATTTGATTTTCGAATGTTTTATGTAAAAAATATTAGCTGTTATATGGATTATTCATTCAAAGTTTAACCGAAAACAAATTACAAACTAACATTATCAGAAAAGGTTGGAAATACAATATAAAAGTCAGAAACAAATAATAGGACTCCTTTACAAGGTATCCCACTAAAGCCAAAAATACTTGTATATGCAAAACATTGAAATTAAGAAACTTGAAAAGAGCACTTCAGTAAAAATATACAGCAAACATTACAATGGTAAAACTTAAAGACAAACACAATCAACATTGACAAATCTTATATACAAAAACTTCAATCACTGCCATAGCAATATTTAACAACCCTTCACACAGAATGGGATAGCTATGTACCAATTAGTTACCTTAGTGATATATCTTGCATTTGACTATTTCAAGTAAAAAGAACCCTCTGATATTGTCCACTCAACTCTGAAGATAATAATTTTCCACAATTATTGCTATAGAAAAACTCAGTTTGGCTATTTAAAAAATTAAACTTAGGAAATATTTTCCAGATAATTTTTCCAAACTCAATGCCATTAAAAAATTGTAACACAATAAATATTTATCAAATAAATGTTATTAAACAGTAAGTAGGAACCATACTTTTGTATTTTATCCAAAAGTAAGTCTATATAGTTAATAATTATAATGATATTTAATTTTAAAAAATGAGACAGCCATGTACAGTACTGTACCATCTGCTTCAAAGGGTTAAAAAGAAAAAATAAAAATAAATTCTGCTCAGTAAAAATAAATTCTGCTTCAGTGTATTGTTTTTAATATTTTGAGATACAATATAATTTGGACAGAAGTTTATAGTTTATTGTCTTTTACAAATTATTAATCTATAATTCATGTTTTGCCACAATAAATTGTAGTAAAAGCAATATGTTAACTTTTATCTTTAACTGAAATCTAAGTTGAAGCTACCAAAATAAAAGTTTAAAAGTTCACCTTATAATAAGGTTTTATTTTGATATTCTCAACTTAGCAGTTTTTAGTAAAGATAAAGTTTTAGGCAGTGCCAAGTTTTACAGCTTTTTATGGTTAACTCAACTTTTCATGTTAGCTTTAATTTTTTTATTATTTAGTAAATTTCTGAGTAGAATTTATTTGTATTGCAAAACAATACTTCGTACAGTATAAGAAAAAATTATATCATTAATATTTAAATATTATGATTATGCAATTCATATAATACAAATGATACATTGAATGATAAAATAATACAAATGAGATATTTGTACATAATTATAATTTTTAGGAAATTTTAACAAACCATAATCAATTTTTGAAGGTCATTTCTTAAGTTTTTATAAATTAAATTTATTGATTAATTATTGATGAAATATTATTGCTTTTCATTTACAAGATGCAGCAATAATTTTCATTTTACCAATAATATGATAATACATTTTTACAATATTAATTTGAATTTTTCTTCTATGTTTAGGTTAAACCTCCCATTATTGTAAATGATTTAATAGGAGATCTTCGAGATGGAACAAAATTAATAGTTTTATTAGAAGTATTGTCTGGGGAAAGATTGGTAAGATAAGAACTTCATTATTATTTAAGCAGAATTATTACTTATATTTTTGCTGGAATAATCTGTCTTTAATTAATGCACAATTTAAAAATTTATACTTTTTCAGTATGGTGAAAGAGGCAAAAGATTAAGACGACCTCATTTTATCAGCAATATTAATACTGTTCTTAGATTTTTGGAAAGAAGAAGAGTAAGTTATTTTATTTTATTAACATTTAAATGTACAGTAGAACCCCTCTAGTCCGCCCTCAGCTAGTCTGTCACTCCAGTTAATCCATCACTCCGGTTAATCCATCACTCCGGTTAATCCGACCGTGGTCGGAGTCGAGAAACTTGTCCCGACTTGTCGGTGACTCCCCGTCTGTGGCGTTTTTCTGTGTTCGTTATAGTATATGTTTTACATTGTGTGTACACTTACAGTTTTGTGTGTGTTTCCAACATATCAGGAGTGAAACATAAACACTTTATTCTTTCATTAAATGAAAAATTAGCAGTGCTACAAAGACTGGACAAAGGGGAAGATTGTTTATTTTACTTTTTGCTGATAATCCAACCTTTTTTGCGTTCCGACCATACACCCAGTCCCAAAGGTGATGGATTAGAGGGGTTCTACTGTATTTGCGATCATTATATATAATAAATCTTATTATGAAAAAATTTGAAGACACTGGAAGGTTCATGTTAAATAGTACATATCATATCCTTTTACTTCTCGTATCATAATATTGTTTTATCACATTTGATGTAATTGTCTTCTATATAATAAAAATTGTAAATAGACTTTGAGAAAGAAAAATCATATTCAAAATATACATCAAAAAGTTATAAATATACCAATAATATCTTTTTAAAAACATTTTAAACTTTGAAAATAACTTTAAGATGCTAAATGAATGGAGAAAAAAATCTTAACTCAGAATTTTTGAGTTAACTTTACATTAAGTTAATAAATTATATGGGTGGACTGAAAGTCAGTTAATCAAAATATTTTTAAGAACTGTTAAAACCAGTTTGGAACAGCTGCATGTTGTTATTTATGAATCCCTTCTGAAGAAGCAACTGAATTATGAATAATAATATGCAGCTGTTCTGGCTGATTTTAATTATTCTTAAAATGTATCTCGATTAAGTGACTTTTAGACCACTCTGTGTATCACAAAAATATATCTGACAATTCAAATAAAATTATTTAAACTGTGAAGTAAAATGTATTTTTAATCATCTTATACTAAAAACTTTCAAATGTTAATAATTTTTTTCATCAATATAAAGTCTCCTTGAAATTGAATAACTAATTGTTTATATGTGTGACTAAATGGATGGTGTGGTAATAGTATATTATCTGTAGATAGTATAATATTATTCTGGTAATAATGGTATTATTGATAAGGCTAAAATATTGAAAAATTTTATAAATATAAAACTTAATTTGCATTAATTTTGGCTTTTCAAAATTAACAGAGGATACAAACTCGTAGTTATATTATCTACCATATTCCATATTTTTATGCTTTTGTTATTGATATCTACTATAGTATTACAGAGTTTTTACTACACATACTACACATTTGAATCTCTGATAATTTGTTTGTCTTATACACATGTGATCATTGCTAAATTGAAAATTAATTTGAAATATATTCTAATCAAATATTCATAAAATAACATAAAATTGTATTAAATGAACTAAACTTTATTATTTTATACATTAATTGGGTCAATTTTGTCTGTTTGTATCACTGAGTACATGCTAACAAACATTCCTTAGGGCTGGCGGTTCTGATTAACTATATATAAACTTCCAATGCAAACTGGAAGTCACATTATTTCTATTCAAAACTTCCCCTGAAAGCATTAATAGATGACCGTCATGACTGTATTGTTAGAGGAAAAGTATGATGTACAGGGGCAAGACACTACTAATTTTAGATGGAGAGTATATATTTTAAATTAAATAAATTAAAAATATTTAAAAAATTGCAGCTTGGCATTGTGACAATATCACAATTAATAATTGCTCGTAAAAGTTTTAATTCTACACTCTACTGCACTAGTTACTTGCNATCTGAAATTATAAGTCTCATTTCTTACATTATACTTGTATTATAAATTACTTATAAATACTTAAATCGAAGGCAACCAACTTTTTTGCAATGAAAAGGAGGACACAAATAAATTGAAGGAAAAAATATTGTAAATAAAAGAAACATTTTATTCATTGTAACAATAATACACTTTAGTAATCTCTACTGCATGCGTATGTGTTGTGTTGTGTTTCGGTAAAAAGTAAACAAAGCCACTTGCACATGGTGTGCTCTCTCAAGGTCTCCGTGCAGAGTGCATGCATCTCATAATTGCATCTTGCTGCACTGTACTGAGCCTTGATGAATCGTTATGTCAAATACAAACACATCACATCACATGCAACGGATTGGCTCAGCATTGATCAAATGCATAGATTTACAGATTAGTTTTCAAATATCGAAAAGGGGACATGTAGGAGGACACTTTTTGAGGGACAGAACTTACTACTAAAAGAAGGATTGTCCTCCCTACAGGAAGATGCTTGGTCATCTTATTAAATCATGAAATTTTTAACATATATACAAAAACAATACTTTGCAGTTAACATCTAAATTTATTAATAACCAGCAATTTTGGTCTAATGTAAACCATCCTCAGGTTCTCCACTATTAGAATAAAATACATTATCCATTCATTCTAATGGGCTGAGAACTTAAAATGGTTTATATTAGATCAAGGTGCTATTTATTAATAAATTTAGATACCGATGGTAATGTATTGTTTCTATAATTTATATATTTTATAGGTAATGTGGCAAATCTAAATAATGTTGAGATTATCCAGGTAATATCAATGTTTACTTGTAGTGTTACAAGTAATATATTGAACTTTAACCAGTTGTTTCCTTATATGAGATTTTCTTCATAAAACTTCAAAAATTTTTCTTAGCATAACATTTTAATTGTAAACATTAAAAATATATGTAAATTTTAATCAATTTATTAACGTTTTATTGTTTTCACTTTCATTTGAGTTAACATAAAGAATTTAATGATAAGAAATTATATTATATTCACTTCAATAATTTCTTGTACGGTTTTCAAAGTTGTACAATTATGAAATTATAATTTTAAACTGGAAAAACTTTCATTTTGATACTTATATCATTAATATTTAAATATTAAGTTTTAATAATGATACCAATTAATTTCAAAAACTTTTTAGTTAAGAAACATTAAAATCTGTCTTGGATCATATTAAAGATACCTTTCATCAAAATAAACCTTGACTTATGTAAACTTAAAATTCAATAAGGAAAATTTCAAATTGTATTGTAAGTTGGAAGTTATTTGAATGCCAAAGGACATGTGTCCAGTTTTTCAGAAAGGATGCCATCTGCTGCTTCCAACATTATATATTCAATGATTATAAAATTTACAATAAATAAATTAGTATTTATGTAATAAAATGAGACTTTACTGAATTACTGAAATTTTATAAGTTAAGATACATTTTGTTGAGTGCTTTTGTTAAGTTTTATTCCTAACCTGTTCAAGGCAAAAAATAAAAATGTTATTTAAATATAGAATGAGGATTTTACAAAATTTTGAATTTTTGGAACATGCTTAATTAACTTACAGCAAAATTATTGACAAAAACACATACAGGTATCCCTTGCTTAATGCAGGGTTTGATTAATGTGCAAAATTAATTGTGACAATTTTTTTTATATACAGCAGAAGTTTTAATTTTTGTTTATTAAAATAAAAATATTGTTATTAACCGAAAATTTGTTCTAGCAGATGGTGATTGTTCAGTCAAGTACTGAAATACCACCGTACTTGATTAACATGGTAGCATTTGGGGATTAATTAATTGTGTTAATCAAGCGATACCTGTATTAAGTTAAAGAAAATTTGTAATTACAGTAACATATTTATACTTGAATCACATCTTTATATTTGCCCTAAAATTGTTAGGAGTACAACTTAACAAAGATGTTTAGAAAATTGTTTATGTTATATTATTTAACTTTAGTAAAGCCTGAAGAAGGTTTTATTATATTATTACAATAAACAAAATGTGGCATAATATTTATTATCTGTTTTTTTCTTAAAGCTAGTTGAGGAAACAAACATGAATAAAAGTATTGTATCTGATATCGATAACTCTATGTTTGGTTTCCTCAACTAGCAGCTTTAAAAAAAAGACAGGTTTAATTTTACTTAAGTGAAATTCTTAGTGCTTTTACATTAGTATTTTTCATATATGAGAGTGTGAAACACAAGAACACAATATAAATTATATAATTTAGTTGAAAGCTTGTTTTAATATTTTGTAATATTTGAAGAAAAAATTTTATGAAGATTTTAAAATAATGTTTGATATGAGAGAGACAAAACCTTTCACACTTTGTTTCTAGCAGTTTTAATCTATAAGAACAAACGTTTTTGGCCATTTTGAACCTTAAAAAGTACCTGAAGAAGGCCATTCAAAACAGCCAAAAACATTTGTTCTTATGGATTAAAACTGCTAGAAACAAAGTATGAAAGATTTTGTCTCTGTTATTTTAAGTAGCTCTATCTTTGTGTGCATGGAAATATNAGTTTTTAATTTTTTTAATCACTACAATTTTTTAGAGCAGTATTTTTCAATCTTTCTTATCTCATGGCACACTTTAACCTATAATTAAATTTCCATGGAAAAAAAAATCACGTGATTTAAATTTCTGTTTGTAAACATTCTATTGCCACATTACTTGCCACTTAACCTAATTCTTTTTGCCTATAATTTTTGTGAATTAAATAAAACAGTATTGCTGTTCCTTAAAATAGAAGCAGGTTACGATAGTTAAGTAAATGAAAATTATTAATTTAAATAAGAAAAGCCATTAACATTAAGTATTAATTTGCTTTTAAAAGTGGCATGATAATTGCCTTTAGAAACCTGCCCAATGCCCCACTATTTTTAAGTTAAAATAATTTGAACTAAATATGGACAATTATAGATACATTTTTGATTTAAAAAAAATTATTTTAAATGAAATAACACAGTGTTATGCACATATAATTTTGCTTATAAATATATATTTTTTTATTACATTGTGTACATGTTTATTTATTATAACAACTTAAATTGATCATACAACTTTTTCAGAGGTTTTAATTTTGACATGTACACTTATTGCTCTTTGGGCTTCTTTTGAAAATAATTTCTTAATAACCTTCAAAAATTTTTCTGGGACACGATCCTCTCATGGCACATCGGTTGTTTTAGAAGGTATTATTGTTTGAATTATGTAGAATAAATTTATAAGTTTTATAAAAGCAACAAAAGGGAACACTAATACATTGATATTAGAAAACAATGAATTTTTTTTACAAATGTTATTGATCAGTGTCTGAAATTATGCTATAAAATTATGTCTACACGATAGTTCAAGTGCATCTTAAAATACATGAAACATATCAGATTTATATTTTGTATTATATGCTTATTGAATTTGTAAACCAACCTTTTAAATATCCAGCACAAAAATTATTCTAAACTAATGTTTTCAAACTAGTTTATAGCTCTTCATTGGAGTTAAACTTAACCATTGACATTAGTTCAGCCAAAGTTTTATGCTGGATATTTAAAAGGTTGTGCTGTAAATTTAAATACATCTAGTTGGCAATTTTTCATTTATGTACTTAGCCTGATCAAATTCAGTTATTAAACATTTTTTTTTGTACAAAATTAATTTTAATATTAAATGTTTTTATGTGGATAAAATTTTATTAATTTACAATTTTTAAACATTCTAATAACTTATTATCTCCATAAAATGGTATTTCCTGTATGACTTAAAATTATTTGACAAAGAAGTTAAAACTTTCAATATAATTTATATAATTTAATTACTGTTCAGTATTAAAACTTACCATAAAACTATATTATAGTAATATAAAAATAATTTATATTATTGTAGATTGAAGAAAATACAAAATTATTGGCAGAACAAGCTGCTTATTTACAGTTAAGCAGTAATAGTAGTGTAGAGAGTATTGGAAAAGGCAGCCCTCTACCAAGTCCTGGTGCAGCTCAGCCCAGTGTAGTTTCAGTACAAGCAACAGCTGCTAAACAGATTACTCCTGCAGAGAGATGGAGAGGTGGAGCTCGCAAAGCATTATTACAATGGGTGAAAAACAGCATTAGTCAGTAAGTGAATGGATTTAGGTTTCATTATTTTGATATATGAACTTGAATCATATTAATCTAATATATTAACCAGAATCAATTATTATAATTAGTTATTAATTAAACTTATTTAACACAACAGAACTGAATATTAATGAAAAAATTCCCAACTGGATGAAATTTACATAACAAACAATAAAACCTTTTAAATCTAGCAAAAATTATATTTATTAACTAACATTTTTGAGCTAGCTACAATGACACTATTAGTCTTTGCATTGGAGGATGGTAATGCAGTAGAGTGGGAGGAAGCCAGAATTATAAGACCAGTTAAAAAAGACAGAACTAGCAAAATTTGCTGAAGTTCTTGAAATTACAAGGCCATATACATTGAATGCATCCAGGAGAGAGTGGCCATTGGGTAGTTCTGGCAAATGCCAGAAGGGCTAATACTATTAGAAATTGTATATATGGAAAATATTACAATAGCCCCCTCTATAACACTGTTGATAATTCTGTATTATATGAATTCCATGTTGTACAAGTCACTTAGATTTTACAAATATGTGAGCTGTTCACAGCGTGGCATATGTATTTATAAAATCTAAGTGACTTGTACAACATGGAATTCATATAATAAGGAATTATCAACAGTGTTATAGGAGGTCAACTGTATTTATTAATTATATTCAAATGTAATTGATTATACAAATACATTTGAGTTTATTTTATTTTACTATTTCTTTTCACCCAAGTTTTTTTGGAATATTAATATCTGATACTAGTTGTAAAGTGGAAATGCAGTCCTGATGATGTCAAACTCAAAATCATGTCCTAGTCTGTTGCTGAATTCATCAATAGAAGGAATGTAACATCTGTTTCCACCACATAGAAGTTTTTGTTAAAAAGTTTATGTCCTGCTTAATATAATTAGAATTGTATTGTATGGTATATAATGTGAGGGTTTAGATATTTACCTGTTTACTAAGATATGAACTTAGGAGATTTACATGTCAATATTTGTTTGGAATGCAGTGTTGCAAATATGGGCATCTTCTAATGTGTGCACCCTTTATTTTATTATCTTTTATTTATTTTATTTTGTTTAGTTTGTTCCTTTTGTTATACATGTTTTCTTAATTGAGTTATTCAAAAAAGCAAAGAAGGAAAAGAATAAAGAAAGCAAATTTTGGGAGAACAATTATCCTCTCCTGACCCATAGTTTTTATATTTATAATGATTAAAGAAATTTTTATTTAGATATTATTTCATTCAAAAATATATTTAAATTGTTTTTAGTGTTTATTTTTATGAATTTACATTAGCTTATGGAAATGATTAAATTTATTTGTACCTTTTTTTTAAGAAAGATTATTTTTTTGTATAACAATGCAAATTAAGAATCTAAAAGAATAAGAGATTTTAATTTATACCAAAATCATAAGATTTTATTTATATATATGACTAACATTGATATTTTTTATAAGAATATAAATAAAAATTTAAGTAATTACTCCTTTCTGAATTGCAATGGTACAAAATACCCACTCAAAACATTAGAGTAAAGAAATATATACTACATTAAATGGTTTTTGAGTGGATATTAATAAAACTTTAATTTTTATTTATTTACTTCTGATTTAAAAATTTATAATCATTAGTGTAATAAAAATATTTTTATAATATATTAAAATATATCTTATTATTTTAGGCGATTTGGCATTCAAGTGAATGACTTTGGTCCCAGTTGGAGAAATGGAATGGCTTTCTTGGGAATTATCCATCGTATTCGTCCCAGTTTAGTCAATATGGACGCTCTCGGATCTCTTTCAAATAGAGAACGTTTGGAAATGGCTTTTCGTATTGCTGCAGCGGATCTTGGTATTGCAAGGCTGTTGGATCCAGAAGGTAATGTGTTTATTTTAATAATTAACACAAATATTTTAGAATGTAGAAAATAAAAGAAATTTTGATTTATGTTATAAAGGTAGATGAATATGATTATTAACTTATAGTAGAATAAATGATAAAATAAAGTTTTTAAAAACTACATTTATTTAAATGTTAGTAGTGTTTTAATGTTTGAAACTCATGTAAAAGATAGAATATTTCCTTTACTTGGGATAAACTATGTAATTCTATGTAAGATTTAGTAAGAATTAAAAATATTAACATTTTTTTCAACTTGTAATATTCATTACAAAATATCACATACAGAATATTATATATATCTATTTATTTTATTTGTTCTATATAAAATAATTTGCAAATTTTGATTGTAATTTTTAAGATAGACTGCTCATATTTTGAATTAATTTTGATCAGTAATAAATGCGTGGATATGATATATTACTTTTAATAGGATTATTGATTGATTATTAATACAAACTCTTTTAAATTGTTAGATGCAATATACACTACTGCTTACTATATATAATGTAGAACTGAATTCAAATTTTCGCAATTCCATTTGAAAACATTATTAATACAGTATTTATCATTAAAATTAATATGAAGAACTATTATTAACAATAAAACCTTTTAAATCTAGCAAAAATTATATTTATTAACTAACATTTTTGAGCTAGCTACAATGACACTATTAGTCTTTGCATTGGAGGATGGTAATGCAGTAGAGTGGGAGGAAGCCAGAATTATAAGACCAGTTAAAAAAGACAGAACTAGCAAAATTTGCTGAAGTTCTTGAAATTACAAGGCCATATACATTGAATGCATCCAGGAGAGAGTGGCCATTGGGTAGTTCTGGCAAATGCCAGAAGGGCTAATACTATTAGAAATTGTATATATGGAAAATATTACAATAGCCCCCTCTATAACACTGTTGATAATTCTGTATTATATGAATTCCATGTTGTACAAGTCACTTAGATTTTACAAATATGTGAGCTGTTCACAGCGTGGCATATGTATTTATAAAATCTAAGTGACTTGTACAACATGGAATTCATATAATAAGGAATTATCAACAGTGTTATAGGAGGTCAACTGTATTTATTAATTATATTCAAATGTAATTGATTATACAAATACATTTGAGTTTATTTTATTTTACTATTTCTTTTCACCCAAGTTTTTTTGGAATATTAATATCTGATACTAGTTGTAAAGTGGAAATGCAGTCCTGATGATGTCAAACTCAAAATCATGTCCTAGTCTGTTGCTGAATTCATCAATAGAAGGAATGTAACATCTGTTTCCACCACATAGAAGTTTTTGTTAAAAAGTTTATGTCCTGCTTAATATAATTAGAATTGTATTGTATGGTATATAATGTGAGGGTTTAGATATTTACCTGTTTACTAAGATATGAACTTAGGAGATTTACATGTCAATATTTGTTTGGAATGCAGTGTTGCAAATATGGGCATCTTCTAATGTGTGCACCCTTTATTTTATTATCTTTTATTTATTTTATTTTGTTTAGTTTGTTCCTTTTGTTATACATGTTTTCTTAATTGAGTTATTCAAAAAAGCAAAGAAGGAAAAGAATAAAGAAAGCAAATTTTGGGAGAACAATTATCCTCTCCTGACCCATAGTTTTTATATTTATAATGATTAAAGAAATTTTTATTTAGATATTATTTCATTCAAAAATATATTTAAATTGTTTTTAGTGTTTATTTTTATGAATTTACATTAGCTTATGGAAATGATTAAATTTATTTGTACCTTTTTTTTAAGAAAGATTATTTTTTTGTATAACAATGCAAATTAAGAATCTAAAAGAATAAGAGATTTTAATTTATACCAAAATCATAAGATTTTATTTATATATATGACTAACATTGATATTTTTTATAAGAATATAAATAAAAATTTAAGTAATTACTCCTTTCTGAATTGCAATGGTACAAAATACCCACTCAAAACATTAGAGTAAAGAAATATATACTACATTAAATGGTTTTTGAGTGGATATTAATAAAACTTTAATTTTTATTTATTTACTTCTGATTTAAAAATTTATAATCATTAGTGTAATAAAAATATTTTTATAATATATTAAAATATATCTTATTATTTTAGGCGATTTGGCATTCAAGTGAATGACTTTGGTCCCAGTTGGAGAAATGGAATGGCTTTCTTGGGAATTATCCATCGTATTCGTCCCAGTTTAGTCAATATGGACGCTCTCGGATCTCTTTCAAATAGAGAACGTTTGGAAATGGCTTTTCGTATTGCTGCAGCGGATCTTGGTATTGCAAGGCTGTTGGATCCAGAAGGTAATGTGTTTATTTTAATAATTAACACAAATATTTTAGAATGTAGAAAATAAAAGAAATTTTGATTTATGTTATAAAGGTAGATGAATATGATTATTAACTTATAGTAGAATAAATGATAAAATAAAGTTTTTAAAAACTACATTTATTTAAATGTTAGTAGTGTTTTAATGTTTGAAACTCATGTAAAAGATAGAATATTTCCTTTACTTGGGATAAACTATGTAATTCTATGTAAGATTTAGTAAGAATTAAAAATATTAACATTTTTTTCAACTTGTAATATTCATTACAAAATATCACATACAGAATATTATATATATCTATTTATTTTATTTGTTCTATATAAAATAATTTGCAAATTTTGATTGTAATTTTTAAGATAGACTGCTCATATTTTGAATTAATTTTGATCAGTAATAAATGCGTGGATATGATATATTACTTTTAATAGGATTATTGATTGATTATTAATACAAACTCTTTTAAATTGTTAGATGCAATATACACTACTGCTTACTATATATAATGTAGAACTGAATTCAAATTTTCGCAATTCCATTTGAAAACATTATTAATACAGTATTTATCATTAAAATTAATATGAAGAACTATTATTAATATGGTTATTAGTTATAAAAATAATTTTAACTGTTTAAATTAAATTAACTTTATAACTTCTTGAGTTTGAGGTAAAATATTTCAAATTCAGATTAAATATACTGTAGTTTAATATTACAATAAGATTGAAGGATTAAGAATAAAAAAATTATTATTTATTTTAATCTTTTAGATGTCGATGTGCCACAACCAGATGAAAAATCTATTATGACATACGTTGCTCAGTTTTTACATAAATATCCAGAAACTTATGCATCTCCTGAAATGGATACAGTTCCACAAAAACAGGATGATTTTGATATTTTATTAACTTGGTTAAATCAGGCTGAAACAATTTTAAAAATAGTAAATCAACCAATCACCAACTATAAACAAGAATATATGGTAAGCAAATATAAAAATACATCATATTTTTCATATTTTAAGTTAAATGTGGAATATATGAAACAAATTACTGTAAATCCTCACCTAGTTTCTCATGGACAATTATGTGAGGCACTGCTGTTTTGAATGTAATTTTTATTGAAAAACGATTTACTTAATTGTCCATGGGCAATTACATGGAAGTTTTGCCTATTTCAAGCATGTAATTGAGTTAGATATCTGTTACAGAACAGGGAAACAAATATTTGATTACACTAGATGTTTTCTACCATAAGTATTCCAGATGAGATTAGAATTACTAACAATTTCTAATTTTTCTGAAATTTTTATCCCTATGTTGTTATTTTTAAAAATTTTATTATGATTTCCAAGACTAATTATATAAAAATGGATTTTTTTCACCAGCTTTTGTTGCAAGCCACTACAACTTTTGAACAGCAAACATTTCCTATTAGGTATTGGTTGGTGACAACTAGCCCTAAGCAATTATACTCATCTTTTGACTGGTGCAAACACAGATATGTAGGAATGAGATCTGTTTGTTCTGTTTCATAGGAGTAAGAGGTTGTTTACATAGATGATTATGTGAGGATTTATAGTAAATTGCTGAATTTTTAAACTTTTGGATCAATAGATAAATTATTTACAGTTTTAATCAAAGTAATTAAACTGTATTTGTGTATTATGTATACAGCTGCATTTCTTGAACTATTTTGTTTATTTTATTTATGAAAAAAGTTTTGTTCATTTTAACATTTATATTGCAATAATTATCATTTTAAAAATTCTCAAAATTTTGATATTTCCTACAAACAATTTACATTGACTAAATGATTTAATTATAATTTTTCTGTGCTTATGTAAATTATTATATATTCTGATACTATGGTTATCAACCCATAATAAAAATTATATAAATAAATACTATCATTGTATTATATATATATATAAAATCTTTGTAATTTATTTATGATAAATGCATAGATAAATTATTTAGAAGTTTTTAATTTAAGAATAGATAATCCACTTATAGAAAAGTATCATAAGGTACAGTGTTGTGTAGAAGACTTTATTAATTATTCTGTAAAAGAAAAATTAATGAATTATTATTTAATAAAATTTATCTTTTAATTTTGTGAATCTTATACAGATAGTCCCCCACTTATGATAAACTGTTCTGAACAAAAATAATGGTGATAATGGGTTAAAATTTAAAATATTTTTTCCCATACACTAATTTTGGCCATCATAAATAGAGATGCTCATAAGTTGGAGACTAAATGTATATTTTTATTTTTATTTGGATTAACATTTATATTCAAATTTATAATTTTAGCAATATCTGAAACTTCAAAAAGAACAGTTGAGCTATAAAGAATTATATAACAACCTTTATCAGAAAATTACCAGTGGAATTATCAGTGAGATTTCTCTTAAACAAAAGTGGTCATTATTACAACATAAATGGCAGCGGGTAAATAATGATTNCTATAATTATAATAAAATTTGATTTAAAAAGCAGGAAAAATTTTTATTAGTCATTGACATAGTTGTTTAAAAATTTCTATTAAAGGAATTTTTTCAAGATTTCTCTTCATGGCAAAATAAAAAAGAATTGTTGGTACAATCTGGAGAATATTTATGTCATGTATGTAAAGACATTATTACCAGAGACATCCAAAAGCGTATTAGTGAGATAAAGAACCGATGGGATAAATTATATTTAAAAGTAAGTACTACAGGCTTAGTTTATGTAATATGAATTAAAAGTATATCATAATCATAAATCTACTTTATTATACAATCAAATATATAATATGATGTGTATTAAAATTAATTTAATAATTTATAGATGGAAGTATGTAAATTTGTTTAATATAAGTATATATGAATTAGATGAAAAATATGTATAGCTTCAATATATATGTGAATAAAATATGCAAATAATATAATAATTTTGAAACAGTATTGCAACTCAGACAACTAAGTACAAAGTTACATTGAAAATCTAATGTGTTAGAATTTTATTTAAATTAAATAATAATCTACAACAATTTTGGACTATAGGTAATAAGTGACATGTCTGTATGTAATATGATTTAAGAACCTTTAATTTAATTAGTCTAACTAAAAAAGTTTTCAGCATAATGTTTGGTATTACGATGATAATACACAGAATTTACCATTTTTGATGCACAACTGATCTTGACAGAATTTAATATCCTATTATTCTCTGAATGTGAATAATTTTTAATGGAACTCAATATTTATTTGATCTTATATTGATAATTATATATTTAAGATGCATCATTTTAAAATTTTTGGGCCATCTGTGATATTTAATTAATATTATGAAGAACTGTCATAATAAAATATTTTTATCAAACAAACAGCCAGATTCTTTTATTGAATTTAAAAACTACAAATAAAAACTGTTTGACAAGTGATGTAAAAAAATAACGTTAATTTTCACACCAACAAATAATTTTAGTTAAAGCACAAAAAAAATATAATGTATAAATACATCAACCCGATGCATTCCTACTACAATTTGAAAGCGTTTGTATATTTATTAAAATTATTTGCTATTGTGAAAAGTAAGGTTATTTTTTATACCTTTTTTGGGCTATGAGGCTAAATAATTACTAAGTAATTTGGTGGGCTTAATTATTTGATGATTATTTAGCCTTATGCCTCCTACCAAATTATTAGTAATTTGTTATTATATAATATACACTTTTTAAATATTCATTAAATTTTCAGAGACATGTTATCTTTTAGCTATGTATCAATAATTTTTGAGGCTTCTCGAGACAACTAGGCCCTAGATGTGTTCCTATTGTGTAATCCTGTACTGGTCCATGCCTAAAGCTGGCTCTTTAACTAGATCGAAAACATTAGCATTATTTAAATTTATGTTGAATTAATCAATGTTAATGGTACCGTACATTGATTAATTCAATTATAATAAATAAATTTTTAATTATGATATTTTTAAAAAATGTATTTAATGTATTATTATTTCAATAACAATGGATTCTTTAAAATTAGAAATTGCTTACCATGATTTAATTATGTATATTAAACTTTGATTACTGTATAATAACTTTTTACCTATTCAGTTTTTTAATCTCTTAATTAAAATCATAAAATAATTATATTTTGTTTAATCATTATTTATTTTTATAAATCTTAAATTTAATAATGTTATTTAAAATGTAGATTTCAGAGAAATTGAAACTATGAAGAAATTTCTATCAGAAATAAATGAGAAATGGAAAAGATTTTCAGTGGAGCTTCGTTCTGTTGGAACTAAATTAAATGATGCTTTTGCTCATTGGGATCAATATAATGCAAATATGCCTTCAATGCTTTCTTGGTTAGATAATGCAGAAAAGGTTATAAATAGTACTGAAGATGAAAAATTAGTAAGTGCATTTACTTTTAGTTGAACTTTATTTAGAAATAGCTTATTGAAATGCATTGCTCCCTGATAATGCTATCAATTACTTGTATATTGTAATTTTGACTTCTGTCTGTGGCTCTTTCTTCCTTCCATTTCATTTAAAGTAATGCTAAGAAAACCTTTCATGTTACTGCTCTAGGTCTTCCATTATAAAAGAGCTTCTAGTTCAAGGCCCAGAGCAGATGCATGTGAGTAGTTCTTACTTAAACCATGCTTACAGTTTAAATATATATACCATACAAAAAGTTTCTGTGGCACAATGGAATTCTTTGTTGATCACTTTATTTTACATCAGTTTTTTTTATGTTCAAAAATGTCCCATACATAGTAAAGTTTATTATGTTCAATAGTAAAAATATTAGACAAAACAATTTAGTTGATTAAAGAATTAGTAAATTTGAGAGTAATTAGAAAATTTCTTGTTCATCACTCGTAGGGTAGTTTATCTTATAACATGGGTCAGAATTTGACCCTGATTCTTGCATTATAACTGGGAAGCAATGTAAATTATTATTAAATATTTAAGAACTAAAAATAAGTTATAAATTTTTGCTTTTGTTGTTAATGTTTGTATATATATTATATAATACAATGAATTAATATTAATGATTAGCATTAAATTAATTTTAATACTGTTTCTGAAATACATTTTATAATTAGAAATAATGTTCAATAAAATTTTCTATAATTATAATAAAATTTGATTTAAAAAGCAGGAAAAATTTTTATTAGTCATTGACATAGTTGTTTAAAAATTTCTATTAAAGGAATTTTTTCAAGATTTCTCTTCATGGCAAAATAAAAAAGAATTGTTGGTACAATCTGGAGAATATTTATGTCATGTATGTAAAGACATTATTACCAGAGACATCCAAAAGCGTATTAGTGAGATAAAGAACCGATGGGATAAATTATATTTAAAAGTAAGTACTACAGGCTTAGTTTATGTAATATGAATTAAAAGTATATCATAATCATAAATCTACTTTATTATACAATCAAATATATAATATGATGTGTATTAAAATTAATTTAATAATTTATAGATGGAAGTATGTAAATTTGTTTAATATAAGTATATATGAATTAGATGAAAAATATGTATAGCTTCAATATATATGTGAATAAAATATGCAAATAATATAATAATTTTGAAACAGTATTGCAACTCAGACAACTAAGTACAAAGTTACATTGAAAATCTAATGTGTTAGAATTTTATTTAAATTAAATAATAATCTACAACAATTTTGGACTATAGGTAATAAGTGACATGTCTGTATGTAATATGATTTAAGAACCTTTAATTTAATTAGTCTAACTAAAAAAGTTTTCAGCATAATGTTTGGTATTACGATGATAATACACAGAATTTACCATTTTTGATGCACAACTGATCTTGACAGAATTTAATATCCTATTATTCTCTGAATGTGAATAATTTTTAATGGAACTCAATATTTATTTATATTACTCTGTTGATTATTAAAAACATGTTAAATGTATCTTATTTGTATAAATAAGATGTTTATTTTTCTATTTGATTATGTATAAAAAATTAGGGTTGTTGAATGATTAAAAATTTTGAAATTCTATTTAAAAAAAAATGGATTTTTGTAATTTTATAAAAATTAAAAATTAATTTAATTAAGTTTTATTGATTTTTTTAAAAAATTTATTATTAAATTAAAGATAATTTAAATCATAAATAAGTTATAATCATGTCTTTTAGTCAGTTATTTATTTTACTTCTTCATTTATTATTTTATTAAATATGTAAACTATAAATTTTTAAGATAAAAGAATATGTGAATGCTGGTGAAACACTTTTGGTACGCAGAAAATTTCAGAGAGAATTGGAAGAATTGCAACAAAAACTGCAAGCAATTGAATTAATTTTAGGAACAACAGTACCATGCACACCATCTGAATTAAATAAATACTTTACAGAATTGAAGGTATTTATACATTTTATTAAATTTATATATTTTGAATCATCTATTACTTTTCAGTTATATTTTATGAATTTTTAATAATTTAGCATGTGTGGTTGATATTTTAAATAACATTATTTTTTTTTTTAAAACAATTTTGATGGATTCAAACTTTTTAGATCATTTCCTCCTGCTTCTTCCTTTATATTTTTATTACAGATGCTCTTGTACTTTTGCCTCTTGCAATCTTCATTCTTTTCACTGTTCCTTCACATACTGTCTCTCTATGTTCCTAATTCTTTGCTATCCTTTATCTTTATAAGAACGTTGTTCATACCTTCAATATTAGGAGATATCTTTGCATTTCTCAACTCATCATTCAGATTAACATCTAATGTTTGATTGAAAACACTAGGTTTTTTTTCAATTGAGAAGTATCTTCCTCCAATATAGGCTCATCATGATTCAACTTTTTACTTATTGCAATTTGGAGAATTGCTCATGATGCTTCTTAATGTGTAGAAAGCAATAAATGAACTTTGTTTCTTGTTTTTTATATGTCAAGAAGTATTATGAGCAATTCTCAAAATTATGTAAAATACTATTTATTATGACTTAAATATATAAATAAATCAAAGTTATTTGGTATCTATATAAACATTTTAACATTAGGTGCATATGAAAGAAATTTGTTATTTTAAAAAAAGATAAATGATACTTTTTAGTCAGAACTTTTATATCATTCTATTTTTTTAAAGTAAATTAAAGTAATGATTATGATATTCAAAAGTCATTTACTGATTTTGCTTTGTTATAAAAATGTAATTTTAATTTTACAGTTATTACTTTAATTGAAAATATTTTTATTTACAGAATTTACAGAAAGAGGCAGAAAACTGTGATATTTTGTATAACAACATAACAACAAAAGTTCAAACAATTATACGCACAATGCCACAACCAGAAGTGCAAACTCTGATGAATTTGTTGAAAAAGGTTTCATTTATACGTTTGAATTATATATATTCATATCTATATATATATTTTAAAATATTGATTTAGATTTAATTTTTAGGAAAAAGAACACATTGTAACAATTAAAGCAAAAATCTCATCTCGTCTACAAGCTATTCAGCAAATTTTAAATTCTCAGAATGCTTGGGAAAGTGGAATAAATGAAATTTATTTATGGTTGAATGAAGCAGAGAATTTAATATCTACATATGTTATTCCTGATTCTCAACAACAAATTGCAACGCAATTAGGAAAACATAAGGTATTTAATTTTTGTGTTAATTTGCAAGTATTTAAAATTAAATAAATGCAGTTGACAATCAGAAATTTATAGGTGTTCATGGAATATTTAGTCATTGTTTTTAAGATCAAATATTTAAATAAACTTGTTTAATAAAAAGTTCAAGAATTTAGCATTTAAAATAATAATAATTGTAAGAATTTTCTGTTATAGAAGTTAAATTAATAAGCAGGCTCTTGATTTACACTTATTTATTAATGAATAAACGGACTTGCCCATAGAAGGCGTACACATGTGACAAAGTATATACACAATTATATAATTTGATCTTTGTATCATAAAGGTAGAAACAAAGGGAATTTAAGAGAAATGATTTATAGCTTAACAAAAGTGGTATGACACCACCTTGTGACAAGATTTGAACTCTAACATTTTCTTTATTTATGTTACTTAATTTTTAAAAATAGTCTTATTCCAGAGAATTTAAAAAGTTATTCAAATATTAAATCAAAAATTTTATTTTTAATACTATTATTTGTATGTTTAATATACAAAAATACAGATATGCTAAAAAGACTCATCAATTAACTTATACATAGTAAAAAAACCATTAGTAAACTAGATATGGATTGCTAAAACATATAGCTATGCTCTGCTATATTATAATTTTCCATGTAGAAAAATTGTTTAGATATAGATTCAAATTATGTTATAGGTAAATTGTTAAATTTTCAATGATATTCAAAATCACAATGTACATTTTAATGTATAAAAGATTTACATGCACATTCAATTTTTCTGAAATTTAATGATTATATTAATGTCATACCATTGTTAAATATGCAAATGATAAATATGTAAAATTTCTGATTTCTAAAATTAATTATCAAATGTTTGATGATTTTTACTTGTTACTATAAAACTTTAGTCTTGTAAATAATTTTTTTGTTACTTGTAATATTATCATAAAAAAATCTATTATTATAGATAATAATTTAGAAGTATAAACCTACCAGTCGACCCCCCTATAACACTGTTGATTTTTCCGTTTTATATGAATTCCATTTTGTTCGAGTCACTTAGATTTTACAAACACATGTGCCAGGCTGTGAACGGCTCACGTATTTGTAAAATCTAAGTGACTCGTACAACATGGAATTCATATAAAACGGAAAAATCAACAGTGTTATAGGGGGGTCAACTGTAGAAAATTTACAAAAAATTTTCAGTGGACGAACTATAAAAGTGTGTCCATTCATACACCATCAGAAAATAACAATTTCATGACGGAGTCGACCTTTATTTGGAGTTGTCTCATCTGCCTTGACATGCAAAATGTTACAATCTTCCCTATGGCAGCAGCATAGACATTTATAAAAATTATACATTTAATAAAAACTAATTGTTCCAGTGAAAAACTTTTTTATTAAATATAGAAGTATATTATTAATGGTAATGTACTTTATATAATAAGTTATATTTGTAATAAATTATATTTCCACAAAAAAGTGTAAAGAAGAAATAGATTTTGAAAGAATGTAGTGTATTGAATAATAACAGAATGAGAAAAGACTGAATTATTTTCTATAGGAAATATGTTTAAAAATATGATAGAATAACACAAATCAAATATAGTTTAATTGTTAGTAAATGAAATTTGTTGTCAATAAAATTTATGATTAACTTCTCAAAATTTTTGATGATTTACGAAATTATTTAAAATTTTTTCAGACATTCTTTTCCAAAACTACTTATTATAAAAATATGATTGAGACAAAAAGAAAAATCATTTCTGATATTGTAGAACAAGCCACAAGATCTGGAGGAATTGATACATCTCATTTACAGCAGCAAATGACAGCACTAAGTACTAGGTTTGAGGTAATTATTTAAATGAATTATTTCAATAAAATTAATTTGTAAATTAGTTACATCAACATATTCATTTAATTAAATTATATTCTTCAAATAGAGTTGTGTAGCTCTATCACAACAATGGGAAGATGCAATGAAAGAAGCTGGATGTAGATGGCAGAAATTTTATGATAAGGAAAGAGCTTTAAAACAATGGCTCGATAATGCTGAAAATATAATTAATGAACCTATAACAGATCATCATCGTCTCGAAACTAGAAAGGTAAATAAGTTTTTACATTAGAAAATTTTTTAAGAATAAACATTGCAAATTCTTATAAAAATTCTTTGATGGTTGCTGGTTAATGTTAATACTAATGATTTTTGTAATCATTATATTCATACTTTAAATATGCATATTTAAAAATAAGAATATAATTTCTCTACAGTTCTAATATAAATTATTCCTTAAATATACATAGCTTTGTTAATAATTTAATCAGTGCCAAGTTGATAAATTTTTATATATTTTTTTCTTTAAAATAAAAAATTATTGAATTCAAATAACTTTTTAATAGGAAATTCTTTCTTAGATTATTGTAACTGTAAAAGTCTGAATAAATAATTTTCAGCTATAAAAAAATATGTGAACCAATGTTTGTTTTTTAATATCTAACTTTTAATTTTTGAATTTTGCTAACAAGTCTTTTGACAGAAAATTTTTATGACTTGTTTTTAATTGATTAAGATATCTTGTCTTTTAATTTATTTATTATTTTTGATTAATTTAAGTAAAGAGGAAATTAAAATTATTTATTTAATACAGTCAAATCCTATTGTTATATTATTGGTTTATGCAAAGTCTGTATTAATGCAAAGTAGTGTTGTAGTCCCTTAGACAATGTTAAGAAGTTTGATTAATACAAAATATCAATTAATACATAATACAAAGCATGTCATGGTTCCACAAATTCAATAACAATTACATTATGCCATTTAATACAAAGCACACTTCTAGCTTCCCTGAAGTCCCTGAGCCAAATTGGAAACACACAGGCCACAATGACCAAGGGCACGTCAATATTATTGTCATCATTGGTAATTAATCACATCAACAATGTTAACTTCAATTTAAAAATTTATTCTCTCTTATATTTGTTGCTTTTTATGCTGTGAAAATGCCAAATGATTAGTTAAGACAGTTGACATGTATGCAATGGAAATTGGAAGTTAATAGGATTAGGAAATTTTCAAATAAAAATCTGTAGTTTTAAGAAATAGATTTTATTTTTAGTTGCTTTAATAATGGAAATAATGAAACAACCAAATTACAATATTAAATACTGTAATCAGTTCATAATTTTAAAGTTAAAAACAAACTGTTTTTATTGAAATTCAATTAAATTTGTAAAATTATATATATATCCAGTCAGTTCTGGGATTTGATTTAGCAGCTATGTTTTCTTATTATATCTAGTAGCTTTAATCATCACTCTACTGACTCTAACTGATGGCAAAAAATGAGCATTGATTCTTTCTTCAAACCACCTGTATCTCAATAAAGTATGCTTGGAGCAATGTATAAGTTTATTTATTTGTTCAAGCACATTGAAATAAGATAAAATATAATGAAATAACTAGGAGAAAATTTGGCTTTTGCAATTTGACAGTTGATTTATCATAAAGTTTGCTTAATACAAACTTCAATAATACAAAGTGTCAATTTTTAAATCCCCTCCACTTTGTATTAATGGAGTTTGATTATATTTGCTTCAATAGAAGCATCAATCAATGCATTTTTTTAATAACTGTACATATATAATTAATAATAGTAATAACAACAACAGTAACCTAAAATAAGTTTTTAAGTTGTTATTGTCTTTACATATAACTTTTTACTTAATTTCTAAATCAAAATGTTATCATTTTTCATTTTATATAATTATTTTACAAATAAATTTTATTACATTTAATAAAATAATTTAAACATTTAAAATTTTTTTATTTTGTTTTATAAAGTAAGTTTTTTTAACTCTCTGCATGGATATTATATTTTTATATTAGAGTTACAAATAATTAGTTATTTAAAATTAGAAATATGTATAATGCAATATTTTCAATTACTATGAAATATATCTGAAGTTTTCGGTACTAAAAAATTTATTTTTAGGCCTTTTTGGAAAATGCAGATGGAAATCTCTTGAAAAGCTTTATCACTGCCAGTGAAGATGTTCTTGCTACACTTCCTGATAATGCAAAATCTTCTGTTATTGAAACTGTTAACAATTTACAAGAAAGGTGGAAGGTAGGAATATTCATCAGTTTTTTACTAAAATATAAAACAAACGAGCAATTATTTATTGTGACATTGTCACAATGCTGGACTGCAATTTTTAATCATAATTTTAATTTATTTAATTTAAAATATATCCAAGCAACCTCAAATTATTTAGTTGTGGCTTGCCCCTGTACATTATACCTTTCCATTAGCAATGGAATCGTGCAAGTCATCTATCTAGCTCCTTTCAGTGGAAAATTTTTTAATTGAAATAATGTGACTTTTGGTTTGCATTAGAACTTCATATATAGTTAATTGGGCCTCTTGCCCCTAAGCTTTCTATATTTGGTCTTGAATTTCATTTATCTAACATTATTCTTGAGATTAAGGAAAGACAGACTGACAGATGACACTGGGAATTTATAGGTCTACAATGTTTTCAAATTTTAGCCCAATTATAATAAATTATTTAATGCTGTTTATATAAGAATCAGTAGCCATTTACATATAAGTTTAATCATAAAATAGTGATACAACTTACCATTTTAGAAAATTTGTTAAAATTCCAGTAATCTTGTTATATGAATATGACATTTTTATTAATTTTCTGATTGTATTTGCTAAAAATATGATAGAATAACACAAATCAAATATAGTTTAATTGTTAGTAAATGAAATTTGTTGTCAATAAAATTTATGATTAACTTCTCAAAATTTTTGATGATTTACGAAATTATTTAAAATTTTTTCAGACATTCTTTTCCAAAACTACTTATTATAAAAATATGATTGAGACAAAAAGAAAAATCATTTCTGATATTGTAGAACAAGCCACAAGATCTGGAGGAATTGATACATCTCATTTACAGCAGCAAATGACAGCACTAAGTACTAGGTTTGAGGTAATTATTTAAATGAATTATTTCAATAAAATTAATTTGTAAATTAGTTACATCAACATATTCATTTAATTAAATTATATTCTTCAAATAGAGTTGTGTAGCTCTATCACAACAATGGGAAGATGCAATGAAAGAAGCTGGATGTAGATGGCAGAAATTTTATGATAAGGAAAGAGCTTTAAAACAATGGCTCGATAATGCTGAAAATATAATTAATGAACCTATAACAGATCATCATCGTCTCGAAACTAGAAAGGTAAATAAGTTTTTACATTAGAAAATTTTTTAAGAATAAACATTGCAAATTCTTATAAAAATTCTTTGATGGNGACTTGAAAGGTGTTTAATATATTAATATTACAGTTGTCAAATTTTTTTGTGATATTAGTTTTCATTCAAAAAATGAAATAGGAAGAAAGTAATGAATATTATAATTTGTATTTTGTAGACATTAACAAAATGTGTTTCTCAATATCTTCTGCAACAAGAATTTAAATTAGTGGAGCAAGAATTTTTACATCATTTACAAGAAGTTCAAAGAGAATTATCTTCTGAACAGCAGTGCATTGATCGTGGAGAAAAACACGAAGCTATTTTAAATCGTAACAAAGTAAATAATTTCGTTTTTTTTTTTCATTAACACATTATTACATTTTTGTAATTTGATTTATTTGTAATAGGACTTTTTTAATAATGGTCCAACGATTATTTCTATGCAAAAATGTCTTGAAGAGTTGCAAGGAATTTGTAACAAATATCATATTTCATTTCCTGGAGATTCTATTCTTGATAACTTTTTACAAAGGTGTCAAAAACAATATAAAGAAGCAACTGAAGAAGTAAATAAAATGCAACAGAAATTGTCTAAATTTAAGGATGAATGGAAAGAATATTGTAGAAGGTAAAATTATAAGTTTGTTTATAGTATAATTATAAAAAAAAAATGAAATTAATATTGATTTATTGTAGATAGAACCAATTTCTTTAAACAAATGATTTAATGTAACTAAAATAAATTTTTATTACAAAATATCAAATTATATATTTTCTTATATTAAGATTTAAATAGGGATAAAAAAAACAATTTAAATTTATTTAACAAAATTTTTGTTTCTATTCTTAAAGTATGAATATTTTAGTTTAAGTTGTGATTATTCCTTTAATATTAAATATTTTAAAATAATTTTATGTTTACAAAAAATATTTATTAAAGTAAAAAGTCCAGCAACAAGTTGCTTAACTATCCTGAAAACATTTAAAACTGCATGTGTGGTACCATCTGTTATGATATTCCAAAAATTTTTTTATATTTTTAATTATTATAAAATGGCAAAAAGCTTAATTTTGAGGGTAGGGATGGATTTTATGAAAAATTGTAAATGTTAATAATGAGTAAAATCGTCAAGTCTGACCCTACTTGAGATATGACATGACCTCTTTATCTCCCCACCCTTTGACCTTTAATCACCAAAATTTAATAGCATCGATTCCCTTAATACATAAACCTCTCTGCAAGATTTCAGAAATTTTTGACAAAAAACACTGAGAGGACGAACACACACGCACATACTAACACTCATAAATACAGAGAAAACCTCTGCATTTTTTTGCATTTCTCAATATTCCAAGGTTCTTTGAGTTAAAAAATGTAAAAATTTTGGGAGGCTATTTCTTGACCAATTGCCATATTTTCCCTCTATTATATATAACAGAGCCAGGAAAGTAAAAATTGTTGTTTCTTTCAAAATCATTCACTTTTAAGTAAATAAATACATTTTGCTTAAATTATGTATTATTTAAATAATATTAATAAACCCCTTTTTAAAATTATTGTTAAAATTTAGATTCAATGCCATGATAGAATGGATGGATGAAGTTGATAAAAATATATCAGCAATGATGAAAGATGTCTCAACTCTTTCTGAATTTGAAATGCTAAAAATAAAGTTTGAGGTATGCTCTTTTTTTATTATTGTAATTATTTCTGATAATCAATCTTGGAAATTATTTATTATGCTTTATGCTAAATTTATATACATGCCTTGTTATTTTGTTGCTGAAGACTTTGCTAACTAATCATAAACTGCATGAATTAAATAAATTGCAACATTTCGATATACAATATTTTATTATGACAAATATTATTTTTATTTATAATATTATGCAATGCTTTTTTTATTTCCTGATTCTAAATGCTTTTTAATAAATCTGAAATTATAATGCTGATTTTATTTTAAGTGATTTAATTAAATATTTATTTAGCTTTTCTGCAGCTTCCCCTTCAGTGATTTCTGGTGACTTTTATTTTCTTTCATTATTTTTTTATTTTTATTTTGCTGTGAATGCTTAAGTGTTAATTTCAATTATATTTTCTGTTCAGATTTGCAAATTTTTATTTTATTTTAAAATTGGTCTAATTTTAATTTACTTAACGGAAGACAGTTAATTTTCAATGTGTCTGGTTTATTAATTATAAGGTAATATTGATTTTAAACACATTAGTATATCATTGAAAGCTGTTTAGATGGAAACACGCAAAATATTTTAAGACAATTTAACTAGATATTTTCTCATAGTTTTTGGTTTACTAAATTTTTTTTAAATAGCTGGCTGGATGACTCAGGTGGATAAGTCATCAGCCTGCTTTGGGGATCCAGGGTCAAATTCAAGTAAGTCAAAAAAACCCAGGAATTTTTTTGGATTGGTCTATCTCTGTTGAGTTGAACCATGTCCCTCATCACCTGACTGCCTTGTTGTGGGCCTGACTGAACTTAATACGGGTATGAAAAAGCCCTCTTGGTGCCCATATGGCAGAAAGTGTTGGAAAAGATGATAAAAATAGTATATAATTGCTAAGAAATTATAATTTTAACTTTTAACATTCATCTACTCCAACTTTTTTTCAAATATTCTTTATCAATTGGTTAATATGTGAAAAGAAAAACAGTTGCATTGAAAATATCATAATTTAGTTACAGAATCAAAGGTATATGACATTTTTGTTTTAAATTAAGTTTTGATTATTAGAAGATTACATTTTAATTTTGTAATTAGAAATAAATAATTTGAATAGGCAAATTTAAAAGTTAACAATTATAACATCATTATAATAAAGGTATTTGTGACTGAGTTTTTCTTGCCTTTAGAAGAACTGAATTTTACAAAAGCTGTAATCTATGAACATGCAATTGACTGAATGATTTTATGAATATAGTAATAAATGTCACCTAATAATAAAAATAGCAATGACAGCAACTAAATGGCATGACATAAAACAAATTTATTTCATCTTCGCTAGAATTTAATATGGGAATAAAGTTGACGAATGATGTTGAATAGTAATCAAAAATTTTTAGTGAATAATCTTTAGATATTCAGATGTAAAACTTAAAATACAGGTATACTTCGAGTTACGTCATTCTTGATTATACGTCGCTTGTCAAAAAAATATATGGAAAAATAAAAACCAAGTTTAAGTAATTTTATTCAAATTTATGTCCATCTGCCACGAATATTGAAGTTGTAATATCACTCGAAAAGCGTTAAAGCACATAAAATCATACTAAAATATGAACAATTTACAGTAAATGTTAATATATTCATCATAAATCCTAGAGAACGAAACATGAAAACATCTTGACTGTGTTGTCGTCTTATTTAAGTGCTCAATATTGGTGTTTTCCATAGTAGTTCCAATATCTACCATTTGACGTATTTGTCAGCGCCACTTGATATTGGTAAATTTAATATAAATTAGTTTATTTTCTACTGTCACAAGATAATTTTAATAACTGTATTTGTTATTTAACCTTACAAAATCATCTTATTTTATAATGTCTTAGAGCAAACCACATTCATAAATAAAGAGTCCACAATGTACAGTACTGTAAACATCGCCAAATTGTAAACATATACATTCACAAGTATGTACTGTACTGTACATACATGAATTCATAAATTTAGATTACTTTTTCTGTACTATATTAAAAACTAAAATTTATTTGTTTGTAAGCTTAAAATAGATTCTTATTAACAATATATTATTAAAAATGTATTTATAAATAAAATACAGAACTGGGAATGGTTATTTATGGTTTAGCCTATTGACAAGTAAATTTGACTTATGTCGCCTCTCCTGGAACCAATTACCGACATAAGGCGAGGAATATTTGTATTGATATCTGATGTTTGATAGAAGTATCAAAAAAGAAAACTTTTTAGATTGTAATTTTTATTTTATCTTTATTGGATACTTTGTTGGTCAGTATTTTTGTCTTTTAGGAGAATAACTTTTTGCCAATTTTTCTAGTTATAAATATGACAGTCAGTCCCACTGTTGGCAGATTTTGACATTCAGCAAATGTTGTTTGAGACAACTTTTCATTAAGCCATTGGCTTTTGCCATAGAATCTATACTAATGAAAGTAAGGATGAAGAAAACTGATACTTTTGCTACTTTTGAGAAAACTATAAATTGTGAATACCCTTAATGACGATCAATTTTATTATTATAATCTAATCTGCAATTTTGATATATATGATATATGTTCAAAATTTTAAAGATCCAAAAATTATATGAGATAAATATCTGATTAAATTTTAACTCCTGTACCTAATTATATATATTTTTAATTAGTAAAATTTTATTTTATTGAATAATGATATCTTCAAAAAAATGTTCAGTCAGATGTTATTCTTAAAAATTGGAATATTTCAATTTTTTTTTTTAGAAATTAATTAGAAAATAATTTACTGAGATCAAAACTTGTCAAGATTTTTGTTTCTAAAACATCAAATAAATAGATTATCAAGAGGAAAAATCTGAAGAACTGTTAATAAAGAATATATATTAAATTTTTATTAATGCAGATGAATAATATAACAAACATTAATTACAAGTTCTATAGAAGAATTGTATTGTAAGAATATAAAATTCAATACAGCTTGAACCTCATACCAAATATCACATAAAAAGAAAGTAAAACAAATATACACCCACAACTGCTGTAAATGATTGGGCTATATTTGGGTATAATGATTATAAATTAGAAATTAATTTGGCACTAGAGTGAGGCATTAGGTGCCATCTTGTATTAAAATTAATAATTATAATATTTAATTAATTAATTAAGATTAAAGTGGAAGAAAAGAATTGGCCCGAAGCGGGACTTGAACCTGCAACTCCCGCTTACCGTGTGGATGTGTTGCCAGTTACGCTAACTGGACCTCGGAATCTAAATAAATTAATTAAATATTATAATTATTAATTTTAATACAAGATGGTGCCTAATGCCTCACTCTAGTGCCAAATTAATTTCCAATTTATAATCATTTTATCCAAATATAGCGATCATTTATGGCATTTGTGGGTGTATATTTGCTTAATATATCGGGTTTCGGTTGTGTATTTTTTGAAAGTAAAACATATATTTCCATTTATACAATAGTCTTGAAGAAAATTAACATGACTATATTAATATTTTGGTGTAAAGAATTTGTTGGTCCATTATTATTATTACTATATATAATAAATATAACATATTTTTCAATTAATTCATTACTATGCAAATGACTTCAGACAATTTTCTTCCTATAAATATTTATTTGAAAAATTTTAACAATTTGTCACCCAATTTATCTAAATTAAGTAAGTTAAAATACTAAATATCTTACATATGTTAAGGTATTTTAAACTGTATATGTGAATTAATGAATTATTATTGACTATTAAACTTTCATAGATAAAATCTTGATTTTCATGAAAATTATAATGTGATTCTGATTCTGTGAACAAGTTCTTAAAGTAAGGTTTTTGTGGAGGACATTTTAATAATACTTATACAGTAAGAACAAGAAGCAACTAATATAATGTGATTCTGTTGTAAATAATATTGCTATGAAAATTACTACATTAATTTCTTGCTAATGAATTGGACAATACGATCATAGCATGAAACGATGTCTTATAATGATAAAGAATTTATTAAAAAATTATTTAATCTGTGTTCAGAAACCAAATAAAATAAGTATTTATTTTCAGAGTAATTTTTAGCCATCAAATATCACCATTGATGTTTTTATAATAAGCTAAAATATTCTTTTAGTTAGCAGAAAATTATGATACCTTAAAAAATAGTTTAAAAGAAGATTTATAAAAAAAGAAAATAATGAGTTTAACAAAATTTTACATGAATTGACTCAGCAGACAGGAAAAATTAATATTTTTTTAAAAAACAACTTAAGTTTATATTGCAGGAGTACATAGAATCTTATCAACTTGATGCCAGTTTTATTATTACCAGTGTTTAGCCAATGTTATTAAATGTCATTTGGTTACATTGGTCATTAATTTGTCTTTCTGTATCTTTGAGAATCTTTAGAAGTTGCTATAATAATTTTAAGATAACATCTGAATGAATAAAAAAAAAAGAATAATTTTGTATATGTGTTTAAAATCAATCTTATTTTTACTATAATAGTTATATGAGATTAGATTCTTTGAATTAAAAATGCTTTTATCAAAGGAAATCTGCAATGAAGTAGACAGTCATCAAGAAGATCTGAATTGGCTGGTGAAGGAATTTAATATTTTATCATCTAAATTATCTAAAACTGAAACCAAAGAAGAAAAACAAAGACTAGATGCATTAACTGCTCGCTATAAAACACTTATTCCTGAAATTGAAGCAACAGTGGTAGTTACGGAGACTGTTTATAAATGTTTNTTATAATCATTTTATCCAAATATAGCGATCATTTATGGCATTTGTGGGTGTATATTTGCTTAATATATCGGGTTTCGGTTGTGTATTTTTTGAAAGTAAAACATATATTTCCATTTATACAATAGTCTTGAAGAAAATTAACATGACTATATTAATATTTTGGTGTAAAGAATTTGTTGGTCCATTATTATTATTACTATATATAATAAATATAACATATTTTTCAATTAATTCATTACTATGCAAATGACTTCAGACAATTTTCTTCCTATAAATATTTATTTGAAAAATTTTAACAATTTGTCACCCAATTTATCTAAATTAAGTAAGTTAAAATACTAAATATCTTACATATGTTAAGGTATTTTAAACTGTATATGTGAATTAATGAATTATTATTGACTATTAAACTTTCATAGATAAAATCTTGATTTTCATGAAAATTATAATGTGATTCTGATTCTGTGAACAAGTTCTTAAAGTAAGGTTTTTGTGGAGGACATTTTAATAATACTTATACAGTAAGAACAAGAAGCAACTAATATAATGTGATTCTGTTGTAAATAATATTGCTATGAAAATTACTACATTAATTTCTTGCTAATGAATTGGACAATACGATCATAGCATGAAACGATGTCTTATAATGATAAAGAATTTATTAAAAAATTATTTAATCTGTGTTCAGAAACCAAATAAAATAAGTATTTATTTTCAGAGTAATTTTTAGCCATCAAATATCACCATTGATGTTTTTATAATAAGCTAAAATATTCTTTTAGTTAGCAGAAAATTATGATACCTTAAAAAATAGTTTAAAAGAAGATTTATAAAAAAAGAAAATAATGAGTTTAACAAAATTTTACATGAATTGACTCAGCAGACAGGAAAAATTAATATTTTTTTAAAAAACAACTTAAGTTTATATTGCAGGAGTACATAGAATCTTATCAACTTGATGCCAGTTTTATTATTACCAGTGTTTAGCCAATGTTATTAAATGTCATTTGGTTACATTGGTCATTAATTTGTCTTTCTGTATCTTTGAGAATCTTTAGAAGTTGCTATAATAATTTTAAGATAACATCTGAATGAATAAAAAAAAAAGAATAATTTTGTATATGTGTTTAAAATCAATCTTATTTTTACTATAATAGTTATATGAGATTAGATTCTTTGAATTAAAAATGCTTTTATCAAAGGAAATCTGCAATGAAGTAGACAGTCATCAAGAAGATCTGAATTGGCTGGTGAAGGAATTTAATATTTTATCATCTAAATTATCTAAAACTGAAACCAAAGAAGAAAAACAAAGACTAGATGCATTAACTGCTCGCTATAAAACACTTATTCCTGAAATTGAAGCAACAGTGGTAGTTACGGAGACTGTTTATAAATGTTTCATCTATCGTGAAGAAGTGCAAGAAGTAACTAAATGGCTACATCAAATACAAGAAGCAACAGATAGCATTGAAAAAGTTCAATATGATAACAGGAAGAATTTACAAGATGCTATTGAACAACAGAAGGTAAGAGTACTGAATTTTTTATATTATGATACAATTATTTATAATATTGCCAGTAATTTTAAATTGTAATTTCTGTGTCTGTAATAACTAATTGAAATTTTAGTTTCAACTTTTTGTTATTTTTTTTAGTTTTTCCATATCCTAATAGTTTAAATAGTTAATCAAAAATTTATCTAATAATTTATTAGCTTTCTAATGTAAATTTATGTGATACTGTAAGCACTTGAATAGACCCACTGTGTGTCTATTGTTTAAAATCCATTTGGGGTATGGGCTTATTTTTTAAAATTACATTTTGCATGTGTTGGTGCACATAGACACAGATGTCATTAAATGAAAACTAAACAATAATTCTAAAAATGTAACACAAACAACAAGAAATATGACACAATAATTTACGTGGTTATAATTTTGAATAGGTTGTTTATACTGTAGTAATCTGTAACCAGGGTTGGGCTGTCGAGAGAGGAAGCTGGGAATTTTTCCTTGAATCTGGAGAAAATTTAAAGAAGTCTAGTTTTATTTTTAAACTAATTTTAACTAAAGAAAAATAAAATTGTTTAAAACTACTTTTTATTAATAAAAAAACATTCTGTGTGTTTCATTTGTTCAGAAAAAGGGTCCACTAAGGTGCTAAAGGATACATTAGGTTAGCCACAATAGTGTTCTTTATAAATAAAAAGCAATCATAGTGATTTTATTTTCTATTTGCAAAAATAATATTAATTTTATAGGGGTAGGAATTACTATGGACCTTTAAGTTTTCTCCTGGCCTTTCGAAACAATCCCCAGGTTCTGTCTGTATCTTAGAAATTGCAGTTTAATTGTGGTGTATTCGAGCCTGTAGTAAAATTTTAACCTGTGGATCAAATCGGGCACATATGGTATCAAGTTGATGATGATAAATTCTAATACTGAAAAGAAAATATGAAGCATTTTAATATGCAATTAATTACTGAAAATTAAAAGTGTTTAATTTTATTGTAAAATATTTCTCTATTAAAGACTTTATTTCTAGCAAAAGACTTTATTTGATGTATTTAATAAAGAATAAAAATATTTTAATTCATAATTTTATAAATTTTCTGAACAGATTCTCCTAAAACAATTGACTGATCACCAGTCAAATGTACAAGCCAGTGTACAGAAAGGAAGAGACTTACAAAAAGAACCAAATGCTCCTAAATTTATTCACTCTGATGTTAGTCAACTTGAAAGTACTTGGAGTGAAGTATTTAGTAAAACAGCAGGAAAACTGGATATGCTTCAAGTAAGTTTTACACATGCATATTTCTAAGCAACATTTAAATCTTTAAATAATAACTTACAGTAGATTCATTTACATTATCAGATGTAGAACTAATAAGTAAATACTTTAACTAATTTTGTTATATCAAAGTTAAACCTTTAAAGAAAGACAGCCTGAGAACAAAAGTGTAACTTGAAAAGCCTGGTTGAATTTGTACAGATATAAACATCTTAAGCTTGATAGTTATATATTAAAGTTAAACAATTGCCTGATTATATTGGGTTATGTTACTACTACTATTATTAATTAAATGCTAAGTAATTTGGAATTAGAGGCAGGTGTTAGGTGCTATCTCTTACTAAATTTAATAATTATAATTTAAATTAATATTTTAATTATAATTATTCTGGAGACAATGATTGGATGAAGGTCTTGGTCACGTAACTGGCAACATGACCACATGGTAGCTGGTGTTACAGGTTCAAGTCCTGCTTTGAGCCAATTCTTTTCTTCCAGAACTTTCTAAATTAATTATTAAAATATTAATGTAATTATAATTAAGCACCATCTCTTGCTAAATTTTATAATATTTGCTTCTAGTGTCAAATTACTTAGTGTTTAATTAATAATAGTAGTAGTAATATATCTCAATATAATAAGGCAGTCGTTTGGCTTTAATGGTTTATATTTGGAAATATTGTTTTCATTGTAATGTGAAACATACAGATAAATATATAAACATAATTTGATGATGTATTTGTAAAACAAATGTATACCAGTTGATAGATCAAGAACTTTGTTTGCTCATTTGCTCAAAAAAGTTTGTTTGCTCACAATGTCACCCTGCTAAACATTATGCAAAACACTTGAGCTTTGAATATTTGTGCACTGCAGACTCTAAGGATAACATTTGAAACTTCTCATCTGCAGTGTTAATTATACTTTTTGCATCACTGTATTTGTAGCATATTAAATTTACAACAGATTAAAATTAAATATGTATATTCTGATGTTTGTATTATTATATTTTTAGAATATTGAAAAATTATGGGAGCAGTATGAAGAAAGTAAATCAGAAATATTTAAAATTCTTCGTTTGGCTGAAGAAACTTTACAAGATACAGCAACTAAACCTTCTTCATCTACATTAGAAAAAAGTTTGGAAGTGAATCAGGTATGTTAAACACTGATGTAATTAATTTTAAGATATTATTTGTTTTTAATAAATTGTTATTACAGGATGTAATCAATCGACTGAAATATGACAGTGAAAATGTTTTACAAAGACTTTGCAAATTAAAAGACGATATCATCAAACAGTGTCCTAATAGTCGCCTTCGATTAGAAAAGGAAACAAGAGAGATAGAGAGTGAAGTAAGAAAAATTCTTAAAACGATTTCAGAACGTCTCGGATATTTAGAGCAAACAACAAGGAGATGGACAAATTTTAATGCTCGCATAGAAGAATTTATGCATTGGTTAGCTAAGGCACAAGAAATATTGAAAAAGATTGTAGCAGATGATATTTCTCCTAAAGAAAAAATTAAACTTTCAGAAGTTAGTACTTTTTTTATTATTATTATTTGAAGGGTTTAGGTGTAAAAGGTGATAACCCACATAAACTTGATTTTGAGGAAATTGCAAATAAAGATTTCTTTACTGTTTGTGCTTTAAATGGTAAAGTTTATACAACTTTACCATTTACAGCACAAACAGTAAAGAAATGTTTATTTGCAATTTTGACTGACTTTACCTTTCCTCTATGAGCATAAATTTACACTTCTGATCATTTCACACAGATGTTAAGTAGAGCAGTCTATCAGCAAGGATAACTTGAAAAGTGCTTTTATGGGTTATCACCTTTTACACCCAAATCCTTCATTTAAAATTATTTTTATATTTTAATAAATTTTTTACATGATTTTAGGATTAAATTTAAATGTATTAAATATGTTTTTGTACTTTTATATTTTTATTAGAATTTATTCATGGAAATAAAGCAGAAGAAACAAACATTATTAACTTTAGAACATGAAAGTCATGAGCTTGCTGTTGATCAGCCAAATAGTTCCACAATAGAGGAAATGTACTCAAAGTTAGTTACATTACGTCAACAATTATTAAATCTGGAAGACACAACTAATGTTCATAAACAGTTATTACATGAGAAATTAAAAACAATGGAACAAATAAAAGATTTTATTAATCAGGGAAGAGATGAAGTACAAAGAGCTGAGTCATATATAAAAGGAGGATTCCCCAAGTTAAACACTATACAAGAAGCTAAAGAAAAAAGGATAGAAATACAGGTAAATTATTTTTATTCAGTTGTTCAAGTTACTTTACATATATTTTGCTAGTACGTCTGTTCTGTTGTTTTAAATTTCCACAGTAACTTCTATTTTGATATATTCTCGTAATCTATATATATATAAAAATGGACGTGTGTGTCCCTATATTTCACTTTTCAGCCAAAACTACACATCGCACATGAATGGTGTTTGTATGTAGTAGTAGCCCCAAGTCTCCATTCGTGCACTATGGTGGTTCCGTCTCGATAGCTATAAGGTTGCGGGAGATATGGGCTTGAAAGTGGTTGAAAGTGGAAGATTTTCTATTTCGATTTTAAAAATTTTCGAATTCGTATTCGAATTCAAATTCGAATTGGTTCGATTATAGAACAATTGTAAACGTTCCAGAAAATTGATCAAATTGAAAATAGTTCGTTTGACTGGATGTAAAAATTCTCTAATTAGTCTGGAAACAGGGGACCTAATTCTTGCATTCTGTGAAAACGGGTAAGATTGGCTATAATGTAATTATCTTAATCTTCACTATCGTTACTTTTTG